GCAATGCCGCATTCAGAAAAGTGGCTTTTAATTTAAAAAAAAAAAAAGCAAAGAACTCCCAGTACACTGTAACCCAACCGAGTACAAAACCAGCCTCGTTCTAAAACAAGCAGAATCATTTCAGAAAATGGCAACTACACTTAGGACATGTATTGGATTCTGAGCTCGGCTATTCTGTTCAGCTCAATTGAAAAAATTGCTACTAAAAGTCTGCTAAATTGGATTCCTCCCCACTAATGGAGGTGAACCCGTGTGAAAAGCACAGGCTAAGGAAAGTGTGGCTCTCTCTGCTTTAGTTATCTCTATCGTGGTCGGCCCAGATTGCTAACCGGAAAGCATCTGATATTGACATTTATGGACATCGGATTTGAAGAACAAAGATATGTTCGGAAATAAAGAAGATGGGACTGGGTAGAGCTTAGAGGTAGAGCACTTGTCTTGCCTATGAGGTTCTGAATTTATTTATTTGCTTTTTGAGTTATATCAGGGGCTGCTCAAGGGTTATCCTGGCTCTGCACTCAGGAATCACTCCTAGCATTGCTCCGGGGACCATATGGGATGCTGGGGATGGAACCTGGGTTGGCCACATGCAAGGCAAACGCCCTCCCTGCTGTAATATGGCTCCAGTCCCAGGAGGCCCTGAATTTAATTTCTGGTTCTGCAAAGTAAATACAAATAAAGACATAATGGGGCTGGAAAGATAGTACAGGGGCAAAGATACTTGCCTTTCACATGACTACAACCCTAGCTGGATCCCTAGCACCTTGTATGGTCCCCTGAGCCCCTCCAGGAGTGACCCCTGAGCACAGAGCCCAGAGTAGCACTGAGCACTGCTAGGTGAGGCCCCAAACACCCCTCCCCGCTAAAATAGATGGTTTGATCCCTTACTGCCCTCAGGGTGGCACGAGGAGGGAGGGCAGGCAGGAGTGGGACTATGCCATTTCTTCACCAGGTATCACGAGAACTGAATCTGGAAACGAGATTCATCCAGGAATCCCAGGAAGACAATGATCATTAGCGATTATCGCTCTCTGGACCATTTTGATTCTTCACAGTAAGGAATAAAAGTGACGAAAAGTGTCTCTCTAAGTTCTGCCTCTTCAGGGCTTCCTTCAGGTCCATATAGAAGCAAGACAAAAGGTGCAGGAATTTTTATGATTCTTCTTTTTAGAAAAAAAAGTATACATTATTCTGTTTTTGGGTTACACTGGGCTGTGCTCAGGGCTTCCTCCTGGCTCCGTGCTCAGGGATTGTTCCTGACGGGGCTTGGGGTATCATACATGGTGTCATGCAAGGCAAGCACTCTACCTCTGCACTATCTCTCCAGCCCCTAAAAATTATTTTTAATTCAACTTTATCCTCCCATTGTTCATCAATTTGCTCGAGCGGGCCCAGTAACGTCACCATCGGAGACTTTGTTGTTACTGTGTTTGGCATATCGAGTTTGGCATATCGAATACGTCATGGGGAGCTTGCCACGCTCTGCCGTGTGGGCGAGATACTCTCAGTAGCTTGCCAGGCTCTCTGAGAGGGGCGGAGGAATCGAACTCGGGTCGGCCATGTTGGCTGCATGCAAGGCAAATGCCCTACCGCTGTGCTATCGCTCCAGCCCTTTATAAACAGTCTCTTTAAGTGGCATTTACTTTGCACCATCAGGCTATGCAGTTTTACAACTCATTTTGTTGTTGTTGTTTGTTTTGGGGCCACACCTGGCAATGCTCAGGGCTTATTCCTGGTTCTGTGCTCAGGGATCACTCCTGGCAGTGCTCAGGGGACTTTAAGGGATGACGGGGCTCAAACAAACCTGGGTCAGCCATGGAAGGCAAACACCCTCCCCACTACACTCTTAATCCAGCCCTAGAATTTGAAAGAAAAACACTTAGAGGACCATTATGTGAAATTCGGATTTTATTGCTCGTTAATGCCATCAGTCCATACAATTTCCAGTCAACAGACTTTTAGAAAATATACCAGTGTCCCACCGACAATGGGCACATCGAGACCGTTCACCTTTTTACATCCCAGCCCTGCAAGTCTGCACATTTCATAGAAAAGGAGTAAAAACATTTCATTGGCATTTACTAGCAGCATTCTTTGTCATCTCTGAGCCATGACCGACGCCGTGGGCTTCAGAGTCACTGTTCCCTCCGTAAATGGCTGAAGCAGTTGCAGTTTTGCTTTTAAAAAAATTTTTTTGGGGGTTGGGGGATGACGCTGAATGGTGCCTAGGAGTCAGTCTTGGGGGTGCTCCAGGCCAAGCAACTCAACCCCTACACCGTGTCCCTTGGGCGCTTCTGTTCTTTTATGAACAAAAAGGCAAACACACCACCACAAAAAACAAAACAAAAACCCAAATGTTCGTGTATTCCAGCGGTCTGGGATTGTGAATTTAAGACATCAAACACGATCTCACTTCTGAAAATGTCACTGAACTTCTTCACGGCACTAGTCCTTCCTTTAACAAGTCACTGTACATTTTAGAAGGGATTGTAAAAAATCATTTAAAATTCCAATCATCTAACTGACGCTGGAGTTACCCCAACCAACACCAGGACACTGGCCCACACTGCCCTTGGACAAAGGGAACTTCCTTGAGGGAGAACTATTCTATAAAACTCACACCAGGGCCTCTCTCAGCTCTCTCTGGACTCTCTCACCAAGAGAGTCCAGCGGGTAGGACACTTGCCTTGCATATGGCCATCCTGGGATATTCCCTGAGCCCTGCCAGGAGTGATCCCTGAGTGTAGAGCCAGGAGGAAGCCCTGAGCACAGGTGGGTGTGGGCCCAAACCAAAAGAAAAAACAACCCAACAACAGCCCCCGCCACCCAAAAAACCCCACCAACACTGCAGAAGTGTAGTGAGAAACCCATAACCAGGTGGCAGTTGTGAGCACTTTTAAAGCTGGGGAATCAATTTGGATTTTTTTTTTTTTTTTTGCTTGTTGGGTCACACCCAGCCATGCACAGGGGTTACTCCTGGCTTTGCACTCAGGAATTACTTCTGGCGGAGCTCGGGGCACCCTACTGCAAGCTGGGAATCGAACCTGGGTTGGCCGCCTGCAAGGTGAATGCCCTACGGGCTGTGCTATTGCTCCAGCCCACAATTTGGATCTTTGTAAACCACATAGAAACACCAACATAAACTGGTAGCACAGACCAATGGTTTCCTCTACTCAAGAAAGACAAAGATCAAGTCTGCATTCCAGAGAGGCGCGGGGTGAGACTCTAGCATGCCCCTGGTTACAAAGATGCTGAAACTGAGAAATACATTCGGGTACTTTGAAAAGGTGCGACACTGGGGGAAAAAAAGCCCACAAACCAAACAAGATTTGAAAGATGGCAGTGGCTGCGTCACTGATATACCAAGAGTAGCACACCACATTGGATGGGATGTAAAGTAGAAGGCAGTCGATCTTGATTAAAAAAAAAATCTCTTTATCGATATAAGCACACAAGCACTCAACGTGTAACAACATATTAATGATCTCTTATACAGGGGCTTAGTGATTCCAAGGTGAGATACGACAATCTTCATACACTTTCCTCTAAGGAAAGGTTTTTGGATCATTTTTAGTGGATTATTCATAGCAAGCAATACAAAAGAAATTATTTAGCATCTACCTTTGGGGTATTCTTGGGTGGTGGTGGTGTGAAAATTCAAAATAATGGCGGTGGGAAGGTGTAATGGTGGTGGGATTGGTGTTGAAATATTGAATGAAGTCAGTTACTATGAACAACTTTATGAAAATAAAATTAAAAGAAAGATGGCTTAAAACATGGAGAAGACTTCGTTGCTGAAATGTACAGCAGCCTGGTCTCCAACAGCGCACAAAGGGTTAAGGCAGCACCCGCTCCCACTGCTCCGGAAGCCGCATCTATGCACCAATCACGCACATGGCGGACTTTTCTATTTTCCTATTCCACACGCCCCCCGATCAAAGGTTGGACTCAAGTCAGAACTCTCAACCAATATTATTTATTTTCCTATTTTATAGTTTTGGTGTTTGGTCATACCAGGCTACTATGCTCAGGGATGACTCTTAGCACAGTGCTCTGAGATCATCTTGGCAGGGCTCAGGATCTCCGCTGGTGCCGGGAATCGAACCTCTGTTGGCTGTGTGCAAGGCAAACGCTTTCACCCCTGTGCTATCTCCCTGGCCCCAAACCAACAATAATTTATTAAAAAAAAAACAAAAACAAAAAACAACGAAAAGCCGTTTACCTGGACCAAGTGAAAAGGAATTACCAAGGCAACATGAATCAAGTTCACATGCCAGCGTTTAAGTTTCTCTGAAGCAACTGATGCTTCAGTAATGCCGAGAAAAAGATGCGGCCCTTTCTTGGCAGTGCTTTGGGGCCAGGCTGGCGGCGCTCAAGGCTGGCTCCTGGCTTTGTGCTCAGGGAGCACTCTTGGAGCTCGGGGGAACTGAAGCTGCGAGCAGAAAGTGGGACCATCTCTCCAGCCTGAGATGCAGTTCCAATAAGGGTGTCGGAAGATCTACTCACACAGCATTTCTCTCCATTGGCTTGAGTTTGAAAAAGGTTTTATAACCCTTTCAAAAAATATATCCAGGCACTCGGGATGCGGCCTGACAGTAAAGCTTGTGTGCTGCCCACAGGAGGCCGTGGTTTGAGCCCTGGGCCCCTTTCCCTCTCCCCACTCCCACCCCCTACCTCAAATCCACTAAAATCAGCGCATGTAAATTTAATACTGGTTACTTATCTCCCCCTGCCCCTTTATTTCCATTTGCAAAGCTCATGAGGCCTCATCAAGTATTCTTTTTGTTTCTTTTCTTTTTCTTTTTTTTTTTTTGCTTTTTGGGTCACACCCAGCGATGCACAGGGGTTACTCCTGGCTCATGCACTCAGGAATTACTCCTGGCAGTGCTCGGGGGAACCATGTGGGATGCTGGGAATCGAACCTGGGTCGGCCACGTGCAAGGCAAATGCCCTACCCGCTATACTATTGCTCCATCCCCTCACCAAGTATTCTAAACAGCAACACTTTCACCTTTTATTAAGGCAAGTTTGTGAAAATAATTTAATATGACCAAATCTCTTTGTGAACTTTCTGCTTACAATGCTTTTGTTTTTTTAAATGTAAGAAACATACAAAAAAATTGTATTTTATAAAAATCCACTTCGATGCCAGAAAGAATGGAAGCTTTGGCACCCAGTTTGCTTTTGCCAAGATTCCCTTGCTTTGCCCACAGTCGGCGGCTACTCGTCCTCTTTAGAGCCAGACTTGCTTAACTAGAGAGAGAGAGAGAGAGAGAGAGAGAGAGAGAGAGAGAAAGAGAGAGAAGGTCAACACAGTTAAGTGGCTAAATTTGTTGGACTTCATTTACTATCAAAAGCCAAGATCTACGATGAATGGAACAACAAACAAGGTTCAATGAACTCACACAACCTTCAGCTTTTACTGGGGTCAACTAGACAAACTATTCTTTCTCTTACGCTATTTTTAGGATCATCGCCAACAGTAGTTATTTTTTGGACCAAGCTGCGATGTGCTCAGGCGCTCGTCCTGGCTCTGTGCTTGCAGGTCACTCCTGGCAGTGCTCGGGGGACCAGCTGGACAGTGCCAGGGATTGACCCAGAGTTTCCTGCATCAAAGTGTAAGCTCAGCCCACAGTGCTCTCTCTCCAGCCCCAGACCCTGCCACTTCCAAACAGATTCCTTACAAACAAAACCTCAAGAGGAGAAAATCCTTCACAGCTTTCCAAGAAATAAACTGAACCCCCAAATATATACAAGTGCCCTACATAAAAGGCTCTTCTACTTTTCTTTTCTATTATAGATTCATTAAAAAGTGTTAAATTATGGTAAAAAAATCATATGCATTTTACCATCTTAATCATGCAATCCTCTTTTTTTTTTTTTTTTCTCTTTGGATCACACCCGGCAATGCACAGGGGTGCATTACTCCTGGCTCATACACTCAGGAATTACTCCTAGTGGTGCTTGGGGGACCATATGGGATGCTGGTAACTGGGGTTGGCCAGGTACAAGGCAAATGCCCCACCCACTGTGCTATTGCTCCAGATCCAATCATGCAATTTTTTTTTTTTTTTTGGTTTTTGGGTCACACTTGGCGATGCATAGGGGTTCCTCCTGGCTCTGCACTCAGGAATTATTCCTGGCGGTGCTCAGGGGACCATATGGGATACTGGGAATCAAACCCGGGTTGGCCAGGTGCAAGGCAAATGCCCCAACCACTGTGCTATTGCTCCAGCCCCAATCATGCAATTCTTAAACTGAAAAATATTGTGAAGTTTTCGTTATTATTATTATTATTATTATTATTTTGAGTCACACTTGGCACTGTTCAGGGCTTAGTCCTGGCTCTGCACCCAGAGATCACTCCTGGAGGGGCTCAGGGGATCCTACTGGGGGTCGGGGATGAAACCCGGGTCGACTGCGTATGAGGCAAGTGCCCTCACCGCTGGACTCCACCAGGAGTGATTCTCAAGCCAAAAGTACCTTTTGTACACATCTGGGTGTACCCCTACCAAAAAATTAAAAAAAAAAAAAAAAGGATTGTACTTTCTTCTAGCTAAACCATCCTGGGACAGATGTTTCCATGATTATTAATAATAAAAAAATAAAGCAGCATTTTAAGCTGAGGCAGTGGGAAGAGAAGTGTAAGGGGAAGTGAGCGATACTCACATGCTGAGCACCAGGCAGGAGGCAGATGTCCAGGAGAGCGCGGGCCACGGGGAGGCATGGAGGAGACAAAAAGGTCAGGGTCTGCTTGCTGTGCTGCAGAGAAGCCAGGACACCGGGAGAGCCTCGGCGCCCCCCTGCCCACACCCCCAGGAGGGCCTCGGCGCCCCCCTGCCCACACCCCCAGGAGGGCCTCGGTACTCACCTTCACCACATCCACCCAGTTCCATCCCCTGGGAAGTTCTCCTTTGTGGTCTAGAAGTTAAACATCATAATTTTATTACGAGTTCCTCAGTGATTTCAAAACGGGGCTTCCAACAGTCAAGAGCCCCCAGACGATTCCAGAACACCGACAGCGAAACGCTTACGTCGTGTCTGCTTGGAGAGCAAAGAAGAGCTGATGGTGCCTGTGAAAAGTGAGCACTGTGCTCCCGAGGGGACTCGCCAAGCATTTCAGGCGGGACCTGCGCTTCGCCGACCCGCGTTCCACTCAAGATGAAATCTGCTCTCTCGGGGGGGAAAGGCTGCCCTGACACAGAGGCGGCAGTGCAGGAAGAGACGGCAACCCTCCCGGGGGGGCCAGACCTTGCTCCCCCACCTGGCTTTCCCGTGGAAGTTTCACAGAGGGGCTGGAGATATAGCCCAGCTGGTAGGGAGCCTGCCTGGCAGGGTGGCCCGCCCGGGTTGCATCCCTGGCATCCTATAGGGTCCCCTGAGCACCGCCAGGAGTTATCCCCGAGAGTAGAGCTAGGAGTAAGTTCTGAGCATTGCCAGCTGTAGCCCCAAATCCAACAGAAGGAGTTTCCTGGAAAGCGAAAGCCTGGGCAGGGTCACTGCTTATAGTGTGCGGGTTTGAGGTTACTGTCGTCAGAGAGGAGCCAAAATTCTAGGAAACAGGCTGTAGTGACGGCTAACGACCGGCTGCTTCCATTGTGACCAGCTGACGTATAGGCCATCAGGGCTATCACTGCTGGGACTGGTGGCGGGCCACAGCAGAGACGGGGCCACGCAGGGCCAGGGACTCCTTCCACGATCTCCTATTCTACCTCTCCAGCGCCTCAAATGGTGTCTTCTCTGATGAAGGAGCAGGAGTATTTTCAATGTCTAACTGTGACCCAGGATCATTTCCTATTCAGTCCCAAGGATAAAGGGTGCTGATTTCCTAAATCTATGTATTTATTGTGTCTTTTTGGGCCACCCCTGGGCTCTGGACCCAGGGATCACTCCTGTGCTACTTGGGGAGACCCTGTGGTGCTGGGGAGCCTACTAGGGGCAGCATCAAGAAGGGCAAGTGCCTGGCCCCTCCCCTGGCCCCCCAAATCTATTCCACAGGCACGCCTCCCACACTATAAAATGACACATTTATCTGTGGTACAGACAACAGATTACCAACCTGTTTTATCTGCCAGCTTGCGTTTCTGGGCTTTGGAAAGTTGTTCTTTTTTGTCTTTTTTCTTACTCGATGGGGCTGAATTCGGAGTTTCGACCGAGAGGATACTGCTTATGGATGTCTAGGAAAAAAGACCGATGCTTAGACGCGTGCTGAGAAATGCGCTGAGTTCCACTAAACAGAAGCGCCTTCGGAAAGGAGCCTCTCAGAACCTTCTAGAAAGCGCTTCTACACTGAGGAAGAGAGTGCTCCCATGTACCCTTTGCCTGTTGAACCCGCATATTGTTGGCCTCCATCATCTCAAAATTCAAGGGGCCCGGGGTGCGCCGAGTCTGCCCTGGGTACCTTCCCAAGGAGTCCCGTGGCCCCGTGGGACTGAACCTGCCACCAACAGTGAGTCTCTGTTCAGAGGGCACAAGACAGGTCAGAAAGCTGCGTTCAACGGAAGCACCGCGCGTCCACGATCCTCTTCCGACTCAGCCAACTTGCTATTACTTGGAAATTTCAGGGTTTCTTTAGGACAATGACAGGGACCCACATAAAACATCCTGCTTCCCCGGGGAATGAAGAAAGCCTTGGGAACATGGAGGGTCATTGGTCCACGGGCGTCGAAGGCTAAATTCGGCAGGCTGCCTAGCTACCCCCAACTGCCACAGATGTCTTAATCTTCCCCCCGACACTTTTCACAACTTAATAAAGCAGGTGACACTGTCCTCCCCACTGCAGGATGAGGAGGCCCAAGCACAGTGAGATAAGGAAACTGGCCAAAGGCCTGAAAGGAAGTGGTGCAGTGAGGGGGGCCTGGCAGCCCGTCCCCCAGCGGCTCCACTCCCAGCCCTGACGGTGCCCACATTCTGCTGGGAACGCGGATGCCAGGACACAGGAGGGGCAGACAGGGGGCCTTCGTGGGTGAAGATTTCAGGCCGGGGCCAACGTGCAAAGGGCTGCTGTGTGCACTTCTCCTGGGGGGGCCCTGGGCTCCACACCCAGCACAGCTGGGAACAGTGGTGCCTGAGCACCAAGGCAGGCGGGCCCCCAAGCCCAGAGAAGAAGGAAAAGGGAAAGATTATGATATGACTCACAAAACTCCCAGCAGTGACCAACAGAAGATCTTCTAGCACGGAGGGGTCTAAGACGGTGGTCTGCAACCCCCCCTTGAGGAGCACTGGGCAAGCGCTTCGTTATCACTGCTTGCCGGACATGTGAGGGTCCACAGGGGCAACAAGGCAGAAGCAGCTGGTCTAAGACAGAGATGCTTCGGATGCCACGAGACGATTCTCTTTCCTGAAGTCTGCTACGTAACGAAGTTTCCTCAAGCTGCGTTTGCGTGACCGACCACAAGAAGTACCTGCCTGCTTCTGCCCTATCTCTGGCAAGAGCCCCTGAAACCCTTGGAACTTCAGAAGTGCTGAGAGTAACAAAGGTGCCTCTGAGATGTGAACGGGATGGGCAGCATCTAAGCCAGAAGGGAAGCACTGGCCCCCAGTGCTGGCACTTCCTGTGCCCGTCTCGGAGACAGAGGACACAGCCGAATGCACCTATCTTCAATCGGGAACCATTTCATCCACTCCTCCCAGACTCAGCGGGCCAGCGTCGCTTAAGCGCTGACCCATAGTCTGAAATCCTGAGTGTCTCAGCACCGTGAAGGGGTCACAGGGATGTGAAAGATAGCCGTAAGTTCTACCAATCTCAGGTTGGGGGGTGGCACACGAAGTGGTCTAGTCTTCATACTGGGATAACCATCTAGAGACTGGACTTTCCTTGTGTTTTTGTGATTCTTGGGGGGACACACCCAGCAGTGCTCAGGTCTCACTCCTGGCTCTGTGCTCAGGGATCACTCCTCCCTGGGCTCAAGGTGGGGGGGGGGACAATATGGGATGCTGGGGATCGAACCTGAGTCGGCTATGTGCCAGGCAAGAGCCCTCCCTGCTGTCTGGACGTTCTGGCCCTAAAACTTCACTGAAAATCAAACACAAAACCTCTTTCTGATGAAATAAAACAGTAACTCGGGAAATGAGTTACTGCTGGAGAGAGAACCGGGGTGGGCCGGAAGGGCGGCTGGCCAGGCAGGCTCCCGGCCCCCCGTCCGAGTCGGCTCTCAAAGGAAGGGCCCAGAGCCAGCCAGAGGTCATGAGGTGCGTTTCCTCGAGCAGAGTGAGAAGGATGGGCGGCCATGGGCCACGCTCACCGTGGAGGTGACGGGGTGGTGGTTCTCCATGAACCGCTCCTTGTTGTCCTTGGCAAACTCAAAGAGCGTGTAGGTCATGGCGGTGCCCAGGTTCACGTCCACGGCCTCCTGCAGCTGGGCTAAGATGCTCTGCTTCACGGCGGGCGAGCTGCGGTGCACAGGGGACAGGCCGCTGAGCGTCACGCCAGTGCCGGGGCGAGAGGAGTGGCCGGAAGCGGAGCTACTCACATGGTGTTGTTGAAGAAGGCATTCATGGAGATGATGGGCGGCGTCTGCGGGTACGTCTCCGTCCAGGAGATCTCGATTAAGAAGGCTTTGGGGTCCCCGTCTTCACCTATCTGGAGGAAAGGACAATCTCAGGCTGGTAAGACAGGGTGCCAGGGCAGAGCAGGGCCGGCCCGTCCTCCCCTTGCTGGACTCCCCGTGCTCATTACTTGACCAGAAAGGATTCCCAGAGGGATGTGGCTGACCTGGAACTTTCTCAGGTCCGCCGGAATAACTCCATTTTCTACCTAAGGCCTATCTCTGCACCCAGCCCTCTGTTTCTGCCACGGCAAGACTTGGTTCTTTTACAGCTTTGTTTCTGCAGAGCTTTGTGAGTGCGAAGACAAGACGGAAACTAGGGAGGTGGGTCAGAGAGCTGGAGCACATGCCTGATATCCTAGCAGCTGAGTTTAATACCCTGTATGCTTGCGGCCGAGTCTGATGCCCTGTATCCTAGTGGCCCCGAGTCTGATGCCTGGTATCCTAGAGGCTGAGTCTGATGCCCAGTATCCCAGCGGCCGAGTCTGATGTCTGGGATCCGAGTGGCCCTGAGTCTGATGCCTGGTATTCGAGTGGCCAAATCTGATGCCCGGTGGTATCCCAGGAGCCCTGAGTCTGATGCCGGGGCCCACCAGGAATTAAAAAAGTTAAATGAAAAAAGAATTTCTTTTTAAATATTAGCAAAAGAGTTAAAACTTTTGTTACCTTACTCCTTGATTAAGCTTTATTTTCTAACATTTTTGATTCTTTGATACTATAAAAACAAGTCTACCTTCTTTTCTCTTCTTCTTAATTTTTTTTTTATTTATTTGTTTTTGGGTCACACTGGCGATGCTCAGAGGTTACTTCTGGCTCTGCACTCAGGAATCACTCCTGGTAGTGCTCAGGGAACCATATGGGATGCTGGAGATCGAATCCAGGCTGGACATGTGCAAGGCAAATGCCCTACCGCTGTCCTATGGCTCCAGTCCCTCTTTCTTCCTTTTCAAGTTTCAGAACTAGGTTTTCAAAGGTTGAAAATAAGTAATGTCAGAGTGACGAAGTTTTCATTTAAATGTGTGCGAAAATCCAAACACATAATAGTACACTTATTTATTTCCTTTTTGGTTTCGGGCCCTAGCTGTTTGTGCTCAGGGCTTACTCTAGGCTCTGTGCTCTGGGCTTACTCCTGGCTCTGTGCTCAGGGCTCACTCCTGGCTTTGAGCTCAGGGATCACTTGTGGAAGGGCCCAGGAACCGATAGGTGTTACTGCAGATCAAACCCAGGTTGGCTGCATGCAAAGCAACCTCCCCGCTGTACTATCTCTCCAGCTCCTATAGGTAATATATTGAAGCATTACAGGTGAAAAACAAAATCGGGGGTTCTGGCAACCTTGTGTCTATTTTCAGCAAAGCAGTCATCATGCCTATTCAAGCCAGGTCTTACCCGATATTGAAACGAAACTGGACTTAACTCCCGAAAACTTTCATCTCCTTCATAAATAGAACGTAATGCTTCCAGCTCCATCTGAAAGAGAGGGATCACACAGTTCTGTTCAGTGGCTTAAAAGGATTAGAAGGGGCTGATTGACATGGCGTCTGGCGTTATTCATACAAGGACAACACCCCCCACATCACAACGGCTCCAACTTCAAACCAAGGCCAAGCACCAAGGGAGCGTCTCGACTCCCTAATCCTCACTTGGGTCCTGGGATGAAGAACCCTTTAATCAATCCCATGCCCTTGAGTTTCTTTCCCAAAGATCCACACTGTGAATTCTACAAACATGATAATGGCTGGATTTTTTTTTTTTTTAAATCATACTGGGCGATGCTCAGGGCTTCCTCCCGGCCCTGCACTCAGGGATCACTCCAGGAAGGCTTGGGGGATCAAATCCAGTTGGAAACATGCAAGGCAAGTGCCCTGGCCACTGTCCTACTGCTCTGTTCCCCCTGGCGAGGAGCGTGATGAGTCAAGGGCCACTGATGAGGCATCTTGGATGCAGCAGAGCCAGGCCCATCTCCCCGGGTCTTCCTCACTACCCAAGGGATTCCCAGTGGATTCAAAAAGAACTGAGCTAGGACAGAGCACAACCCCCTGGCGCCCGGGCAGGGCTGCTGTGTTCATCTCTGCCCTTCTTCTCTCACTCATGACACACACTAGCATCAAAACTGACAACTGGAGGGGACAGCCAGTCATATCAGTGGCCAGAAAGAAAAAGAGAACGCTAAAAGTATGGGCAAGATCACCGACCATGATGGAAAAAAGAGCATGGCCGCAGTGGAAGAACTTCCAAAGATTCCAAGTCGGGGTGACAGCAAATTGCTGGCCGGGACGCGGCCCACACAGGCTCCCAACCGCAGGTGCCGAACTATGGAGAATCTTGCCTTTGACGCTCCGGTCGCCAGTAAATCTAATCACGCAAAACTGGGGCTCGGGGGCTGGAGTGACAGCACAGTGGGGAGGGCATTTGCCTTGAACACAGCCGACACGGGTTCGATTCCCAGCATTCAATATGGTCCCCCGAGCACTGCCAGGGGTAATTCCTGAGTGCATGAGCCAGGAGTAACCCCTGTGCATTGCTGGGTGTGACCCAAAAATAAAAATAAAAAAAAAGAAAGAAAACTGGAGTTTGACAATCGAAAGCAAGTATGAACTTATAATCTCTCAAAACACATAATAGTGTATAGAAGGAACTAGAAGGGGTCGACAAAAGGAGGTCAGGAGTGCGGGGGTTAAGCATGCCTTGCACATGCTGGCCCCAGTTCAATCCCCAGCAGCACCCGATACCCTGCCGGGTGTGGTCTGGGTCATCCCTGGAGCTCCACTGGGCCTGGCCAGGTGGCTGAGAAGGGCTGGGAGGGGCCTGGTCTCCTCAGTTCCACCTCAAGGGGGGGCATCCCTGGACTCCTCCAAAAAGGGTGGGCTCACGGAGAAAAGTTTAAAGGGACCATTCAGTATGGGGAGAGCAGGAAGGCAGTTTTGAAAGCCAACAGGGAAGTATGGAAAAAAAAAATCACAGTCCAAATGGGAGATCCTGTCCAGGGATGTCCTGTCTCAGAGAGGTGGCCCTAACTAAGGTGGCCGCACTCTGGGCGGTGGGCAAACTCAGGGACACGTTACGTGCTGGGGTTCGCTGTGACAATGGTCCATGCTGTGGTGGGGAAACTTGGCCCAGGGGAAGTCTGATAGCAACCAAACGAGCTGGATTTTGGGTCTGAGTTGTAGCCTCCCCCTTCCCCCCCCACTGCCTTGCCAGTCCAGAGATTCTACACTCCTACTTGTACAAGTGCTCGCTTCTCAGCAGCGGCCCCAGCCACTCACGGCTCACCTAGTCTACATACCAGGTGCAACCCCCCTGGCCCCTCCCCAAAAACCCCTCCTGGAGAGGTTCCTCCCACACCCAGCACCCCTTCCAACCCCACCTTCCCCATTCAGTGTTAACGGTGGAATCCCCCAAATTCCGGAGGCACCGGTGTGCCCTAAGGGAGCTAGGATAAGGATCTCACCCCCAAATCTAGCCTGGAACCTGGCTGGCCGCCCCCAGTCCCCTCCAGGGGTGTGACCCACTCCTTAATCCTCTGGCTACTGGTTTAGGAGTGTCACCGTATGTTTTCGGTTTGGGCCACACCCAGCCGGCCTCAGGGATCCTTCCAGGTGGGGCTGGGGTGTGGTGGTGGTGGTGGTCCGGAAACACCCTATGGGCTGCCGGGGTTCTAACCCAGCTCAGCTGCGTGCCAGGCCAGAGCCCTCCCCGCTGGACTCTCTCTGGCCCCAGGGTGACCAGTGCAAGGCGACCCACAGGGACACGAGCCCCAAGGACACACGCTAAGGCGACCCGGGGTGACCCGGGGGCTGGGTTTGCAAGGGGGACCCCCGCGCGGTGGGCGCGGGCCGGGGTGGCCCCCGCGGTCAGCACGCCCCTTGAAGCAGGACCCCCATCAGCCTGGGAGGACACGTGTCGCGCCCGGGCCTCCCTGCACGCACCAGTCGTACTCCCTGGGGCCCCGGAGGGTGCCCCGGGGGGCGGGGGGCGGCCAGCCCGGGAGAACACTCACCTCCTGGTCCTCGTTGGCACTCATCGCGCCGGTCACCGGGGGTGCCCCCCGCGCCCCGACCGCTCCCCAGCGGCGGCGGCCACGCACAGGCCCCGCAGTCGGGGCGTCCTCGGCGGCAGGAGGCGACACAGCTGCGAGAGCCGCGACCGGGAGGTCCCGCGCGCCCCCAGCCCTCGTGGGTGGGGGGGCAGCGCGGGCTGCTGGGGGAGCAGCAGGCGGGGAGACCCGCGGGGGGCAGCAGGGGCGCCGGGGACGCCGCGGGGACGAGCCAGGCTCCGCCCCCTTCCCGCCTCCTCGCGCCTCCGATTGGTTCCTCCTCGCTCCGCCCCTCCCCTCCGCGCGACCACTAGGCAACGGGGCCACCCGTGACGCCACGGCGGGCTCCCGCGCGGCGATTGGCTCCGGGAGTTGTCACTCGGATGCTCCGCGCATGCGCAGGAGCGTTCGGGGAAGTCGCGCCCGCTGGGAGCCGGCTCCGGGGCGGCGGCGGCGGCTGCGGCGGCTCCGGGGCGTCGCTGGGCCTCGCGTGCGGGGACAGCGCTGCCCACCTCCCCCGCTCGTCCTCGCCCAGCTGAGGCTGCTGCAGGCCGGGGGCGTGTGTGCCGGGTGAGTCCGGGCGCGCTGGGCTCGGGGCCGGGGCCTGCGCTTCCTCGCGCGGTGCAACCCCGGCGCGGCCCCTAAACCGAGACGCACCTGCCCTGGGACCCCCCGGGGGCTGGGGGCAGCGGGCGGGGTAGGGAGGTGGACCTGGGCAGCCACAGACTGGCCATCTGCAGACTTTCTTCTCCGCTTTTTCTCCTTGGAACTTCCTGGGCAGAATTCTGCGCTCCTTGGGAGAGCCCCCCCCCCCCACCCCCAGCGCTAACCACCTGGGGCGGCTGTTTGGTGCCAGCTGTCCACCGCTGTCCTGCACCCACCTGACCCCGCGCTGGGTTTCTCCTGGTGGTGGGACCGAGCTGAGCCCCATCCTTGCTTGCTTTGTCTCCTGCGGCTCCCCGCCCCCTCCATTTATTGCAAACACGTTGGCATCGTTATTTTATTATTATTATTATTATTACTTTTATTATTATTTTATAAAAGGCCTGTCTCAACCAGGCCACCTTTCCCCACAAGGTTTCCCCTGCTTTTTCAGAGCCTGCTTCAAGGGTCTTTCCGTGCCATTCTCTTGATGACAGCTCCCACCAGCCCTGAGCTCCCGAGTTGTACCCTGCTGCCCCGACCTCCTTGGTGTCATTCTCTGCTCCTTGCAGGAGCTCCTTTTCCTGTCCTAAGAGTCACACCCCTCCCCCCTAACCGCCCCGCCATCTGTTCCTGGTGGGTGTCCCTCCGTGTCCCATCCCAGTGGTGCAGGATGAGCTTACCTGTTACACTATCACTGCAGTCACCCAGAGTATTTTTCTGTCAACATGTATTTCTTTAGCCTTGTGGCTTGAGCCCAAGCCCCACGTTTCTGTTGAAGAAACTCTGAAATGTCTACCTACCGTAGGCAGGAATAATGTCTAGTAAGCGTCCCACATCATTTGTTTTGTAGCACTCTGTAAAGGTGGGACGCCTCCAGGTCCTTTTCAGAGTTAACCCTTCATTCCAGGGCCTGGGAGACAGCACAGGGATTAGGGCGCATGGCCAGCTTGCAGATGACCCCAGCACCTCGGGGTCCCCCGAGTATCGCCAGGCGATGCCCCAGGGACCCCTGAGCAGCACTCGGTGGCCTTCTTGAAGTGGAACAGCGTTGTCTCTGCAGACCCTTGCATTGAACAACCGACCTGACTGGCGGAGAATCACTCGTGGGGCCCCCAGACCTCGTGAATACTACTTGGGAGCCCCAACAAAAAAATTAAAATAACAAACCAATCAACAGCTCTGTGCGAACCTTACCTTAGCTCTGTGGTCGGGTCCTTGCTTTGCATGTCTGAATCCCTGGATCCGACCGGGTGTTGGTTTTGCTCAGCAAGGGCTCCCGGCTTTTCTTACCAAGTAGACCTGAGCTCATTCCAGTCTCAGCACTGGGCTCCACCGAGAGCTGGGGCAGCCTGACATTGGTGTGTGGTGCTGGCATTCTGGCGGGAACGGCGTGGACCCATACCATATGTTCTGCCTCTTTCCTAGGCCTGCCGTCACACAGCGACCTTGCCGCCAGCCTGGTTCTCTTGGGAGAGTCTCGACCACCCCAGTTTGGGACATGAGGAATTTCTCCTAAGTCACACCTGTGCTTTCCTTCGGAATCGACTCTGAGACGGCTCTGCTAAAGTGAGCGCATCCTTGGATCTGTGACAGCCGAGTCTCAGATCACAAACACAACCCGGCCTCCTGGATTCGGCCCCACCATCCTTTGCTTTTTCCCTTTAAACAGTACGTTTTGTAGGCACAGTGGAGGAGAGAGATGGCATGGTTCCATAAATAACTAGCATATTATTAAAAAAAAAATCCCAGGAAATGAGGTGTTAGCAATCAGAGAGAGATGAGTGCTTACAGCTGTACTTTATTGTTTATGTAAGTCAATATTTTTTCTTATTGAAATAAGTGAAATAGGTCATTCCTTTAGACCTGTTTTGATTTGATCATCTGACATTTGGGCCGCCCCTTCCCAGTGCACGCGTTCATGTGCATATTGGAAGTAAGACTTGTCTTCAGCTTGCCCACAACCTTTCTTATAGGAAAGATTCTGTAAAGATTGAATCCCAGTAGCTGTTGCTTTACATTAAATCTAATTTGGAGATGACCTTTTATTTTATTTATTTATTTATTTAGAGCAAATTATTTTATAAAATGTACTTGAAATGAGTATATACTTTTAGGCCTCTAAAGCCTGCATTTATTAAAGAGCTCTTAACATTTTGCTGTTTTATTTGGCATGCTGTTTGTGTTTTTTTTCCCCCCCCAATGAATCGCCATGAGATAGAGTTACAGACTTACAAACTTTCATGATTACAGCCTTTCCCTTTCTTGCTTTTCTCTTTGGGCCACCCCTGGTGATGTTCAGGGATTGCCCCTGGCTCTGTGCTCAGGAATGACTCCTTGAGCTCAGGGAGTCTCTGGGATGTGGGGCGGGGGAGGGGGACCGGGGGAGTGGAGGGGTGGGTAACCCCATGTGGGCATGCACCCGCCCCTCTGTGCTTCCTCCCCAGCCCCCCTGCACTTTCCCTTTGGATCTCCCCTTGTGCCTCTGGACCGTCTGGTTTAGGGTCTGGTGTCGGAGAAGAATCTGGACGTTACGACACGCTGCTGACAGCCCTCGCCTCTGTGTTTTGTGTTTCAGAGCCCCTGCATCCCCCCACCATGAGCCCCACGCAGTGGGACTTCCCTGTGGAGCTGTGCTGCCGGCCCATGGCCTTTGTGACGCTGACGGGCCTGGATGTGGTTTACAATGCCGTCCACCGGGCCGTGTGGGACGCCTTCTGTGCCAACCGCAGGGCCGATCGGGTCCCGATCTCCTTCAAGGTGTTGCCGGGGGACCACGAATATCCCAAATGTAGACCCAAGGTAATGACAGTTGCACTCCCCGAGGGTCCCCTGTGTGTGTCCGTGCGCGTGCTTGGCTCCTGGGGCCTGGGGGGGCGGTGTCTCTGTGTGTGCACCTGCACACGTGTGTGTGTGTGTGTGTGTGTGTGTGTTTGTGTGCCTGTGCCTGTGTGTGTGTGTTCGCGTGCGTGTGTGTGTGTGTGTGTGTGAGCTCATGCACGTGCACTTTGTTCCCATTTGCTCCCAGAAGGCCGAGGGCCCTCTGAGCTTGTGTGCGTGTGTGTATGTATGTATGTTCTGTGCTCTGGGTGTCTGTGTGCATGTGTGTGTATGCAGTTTGTTCCCGTGGTCCGTGCTTGGAGCCCTCACAGCCCAAACACACACAGACCCCATGCTGTCTATATATTTGTCTGTGTGTGTGTGTGTTTGTATATTTATGTGTCTGTGTCTTTGTGTCTGTGTGTCTGTGTCTGTGTGTGCTTTGTTCCCCTGGTCTGTGCTGGGAGCCCTCTAAGGTGGTGTGTGTGTGTGTGTGTGTGTGTGTGTGTGTGTGTGTTCTCTGTTCCTGTGGTCTTGCTGGGTGCCCCTGACTTTGTGTGTGTGTGTCTGTATGTCTGTATCTGTATGCTGTGTTCCTGGGGTCCATGCTGGGTACCCTCCGAGGTTGTGTGTGTATGTGTTTTGTGTGTGTGTGCGTGTGCGTGTGCATGCTCTGTTGCTCTGTTCCTGTGGTCTGTGCTGGGGGCACCCATGCTGAGCAGGCAGTAGACGGTTGTACTGACCGCATGGTGTCTGCTCTGACCATCCACTCTCCTGAAGATCTGTCACAAACTCAGTCTTCCAAGCTTGGTCTGGAAGTCCAGGAATGGGGCTCGTCAGTCACAGTGTCTGGGACAGGCCACCCTCTGGACTCTCCGTCCCCCAAGGAGTCTGGTGTGCCAGACAGGGACATGCTGCCTGGTGGCCACCCGAGCTCTCCACATGTCCCGTCAGACGTGTCTCGGCAGTGCCCCAGGTCCAGCCTCCCTCCTGATGCAGCACCTGGCTCTCCGTTCCCTTGTTTATGGCTCTTGCCCAAGATCTAAGTTTATTTATTTATTTTTTTGGAGGGGGGCTGGGGGCTCAGGTGCCCAGGATTGAGTCAGGGCCCTCTGTGGGTGCCCAGCCCCAGCCATCTCTGGCCTCAGGCCCAGGGTCTGGTGTCAACTCACCCTCCCTCCCTCCCTCCTTCCCTTCCTTTCTTTCCTTTCTTTTTTTTTTCTTTTTGTTTGTTTGCGGTACTCAGTGCTTACTCCTGGCTCTTCACTCAGGAATCCCTCCCGGTAGTGCTCAGGGGACCATATGGGATACTGGGGGCTAAACCCGGTTGGCCGCTATACTCTGGCTCCTGCCCCTTAACCCTCCGTTCTCGTCCTGTGTTCCTTGAAGTGAACACTGGACCACCGAGAGCTGGAGAACCTGCGTCGGTGTGGGCGCTTTGGGGGGGCTTTGAGACTTTGTCTGCTGTCCTCAGAGGGCCTGACACATTGCCTGCGTCCGTCCTTTCCCACCCTGGGTCTCTGGTGCTGACCCCCCAGCCACCACTGCTCTGGTTGAGATTGGAGCTTGGGGTAGGGGGCAGTACAGTGGTAGGGGGCTGGGCCCTGCTTTGCACATCCAGTTCAGTCCCCGTCACTCCGTCTGCTCCCCTGAGCACTTCCAGGAGTGATTCCTGAGCACAGAGCCAGGAGGAAGTCCTGAGCACCTCTGGGTGAGGCCCTAGACCACCACTGCCACCACGCAAAGGAGAGGAATTGACCTTCCTCCTTCCCCCATCCTCAGTCAGGGCCGGTGCCGTTGGGCATTGAAGCTACATTGAGTTTTTGGTGTGTCGCATTGAAGCAGCTTTTGTAAGAGCAGGAGCGGGTGGGTGGGAAGTAGAAGCAGAACCTTCTGGAAAAGGGACGTTTCCAGGCCTGGGCACCCTTAGCAAATATGCTGGCTGGGGGTGGGCAGTGGGGGTTTCTGGAAACAAAGCGCGTCCCCCTCCAGCATGGCTCATTCCACGTCCTTGCCTGCCAACCTTGCATCCTCCCCCAAATGGATTCCTGGGGGTGCCCAGTGCAGACAGCCAGTGCCAGTTCCGGGCCGAGTGACTGCCCCCTCTTCCCCCTGCCCGCAGAGAACGTCCTACGAGTGGTACATCCCCAAGGGCATCTTGAAGACCGGGTGGCTGAACAAGCACCTGAACCTGGTGCCGGCGCTGGTGGTTGTGTTCTACGAGCTGGACTGGGACGAGCCACAGTGGAAGGAGAAGCAGTCGGAGTGCGCCACGCGGGTGGAGATCGTCAGGTACCTGCGGCATCCCTGGGGGCAGTGCCCACCCCCTGGGAGGCGGGGATGCTCAGGTGTGCCAGGGAGCCCAGAAGCCGACGGGGTCGGAGTCCCCGTTGCCCTCTTTGGCACTGAGAATCACTCTTTTGGGAGAAGAGCAGTTTTGCTCACTGGTCCCAAAGAGGCACTCGCTTTGTCATCACCCTTTTCGTCTCAGAATAACGGTTTTGGATGACGCCTCTGTAATGGACTTGGGGGCGGAGAGACGGCTCCGAGGGCTGGAGTTGGGGCTGGAGCGATAGTACAGCAGAGAGGGTGTTTGCCTTGCATGCAGCCGACCTGGATTCAATCTCCTGCATCCCATACGGTCCCCCAAGCACAGCCAGAAGTAATTCCTGAGTGCAGAGCCAGGAGTAACTCCTGAGTGTCATGGAGTGTGACCCAAAAAGAAAAAAACAAAACAACCGGCAGGGGGAGGGAGTTCATGTGTCACATGCGGGGGCCCTGGGTTTGATCCTAGTACCACACGACTCCCCAAGAACTGGGTGCTGCGCCTCTTACCTGGAAAAGTTGGATAATGATTTTGTTGAGGCCACTCCTAGCAGCTGGGAGCTGTTCCCAATTCTGGGCTTGGGGACCCATGTAGTGCCAGGGATTGAGCCCCCGCCCCCCTTTGAACTAGCTCTGAGTCCCCGTGTCTCTGAGTCTGTTCTCAGCTTCTGTCTTGGCTGAGTTATAGAACCCAGAACCCCTCCTGCACCATGCTGCCAAGTCACACTCCCCCCAACCAGCCTCCCCTGCCCCAGCCGCTTCCTTCACTGTGTGGCTCCCACCCCACCAGGCTCATGGGGACACACCCTGGGGGGGGGGTGCGGCACTGGTGCTTGTTTTACCTGGAAAGTTTGCTGAGGTCGCCGTGGTTTCCTGGGCTCCGGGCTCCTGGCCATTGTGGCCAGTGCGGCCAGTGCATCCTTAGCCCAGGTGCCCACATGCACTTGCTATGGGCTGAGGTCACACAGTCTCTCTTGACATTCATTGGGGATTGCTCCATGCTTGTGACCTCCACTGGGGGTGGACTCTGGGACTCCTGCTGGCCAGTCAGGTGCTTTTGGCCACAGAGCCATCCTAGGCCCCTGAGCTGGGGCCGTTCAAGCCAATCTGTTGGAAGGATTAGGAGCTGGATGTGAATTTGCTCTTCTGCCTTTTAAATCACATGTTCTTTGGATGCAGGAGACTTCCTCTCCTCTCCCTTTTCTTTACTTGCTGTCGGAGTAAAGTCCTGAGTTTTCTTTTGTAAGACGGTCATTTCCTTCATTTTTACTATGACTTTTCCATTTCAGGCAAAGCTTGCAAGGCAGGAACACCAAAGTCGCAGTGGTTCTGATTCAGAAGAAAACCCCTTTGCCCCCAGGTATTAAATGATTAATTCACAATCATTTCCTTTTTTTTTTTTAACCTCCACTTCTTCTTACTCGGTGAATATTTTTCAGTGTTAGAAATTATTTTATGCATTCAGCTGAAGGAAAGATGGTGCATTAACTTAAAGTAATAACAATACATGAGTAAATGCTAATCGTGAAACAGTGAAAAATATGAATGAGATCTTCGTAGACCTCCTCCTCCCCTCCTGCTCTGTTCGCTTCCCTTTGTAGACATGTACAGGTATTCACCGGATTATTTAAAGAGAATATTAATTCTCTAAAATCTGTTGGAGGGCAGATTCAGAAAGCTCAAATATTTCTCATTTCATCTAAGCTCGCTATCTCAGGGGCTTGCCTTCCCTCCCTCCCTGTTTTCGGAGCCCCAGCTCTGTCTGGATTGTTTCCATGTGGAAGGTTCAGGAATGAGGATGCCCCTCTGTAGAGAAAAGTCTGCTGTCCCTGTGGGCCCGTGATTGCTTTCTCTCAGCTCAGGAGCAGAGACCCCAGTGTTCCCTGAGGGGCGAGTGCCTGGAAGGCCTGTGGCTTGGGGTTGGGGCCAGGTCAGGGGCTGGGGCAGCAGGCTTCTGACGTCCCTGACCGCTGGCTGCCTCCTGTCCATCCCAGGAGAAGACGTGGTTGCTTCCGAGAGGGCCGCGGCCCTGTGCAACGCCTGTGAACTCTCGGGTCAGTCCCTGTTCGTCCTGCCCCACACGGACCACCTGGTGGGCTACATCATCAGGTAAGCGGGGCCATCTGTGTCTCAGAAACACGCTTGTTCCGGGAGGGAAGAAGTCCAGATGGCGCCTCAGCCGCAGGGAAGGTTCCCTCTCACAGCCTGTGTGCCTGCTCCAGTTCCTGGAGGCCAGTGCCTTCCTGGGGTTCCTTTGCGGTATGTGTACACACACACACACACACATACACACACACGCGCGCGCGTGTGCGCGCGCACGCACGCACATGCACATGCGCACACACATGCACACATGCACATACATGCACATGTACTTGCACACATGCACACAAGCATACCCACGCACGTGCACGGACACATGTGCATGCGAATACCAACTACACACATATCACATATACATACACATACACATACACATACATACACATGCACACAAATGCACGTGCACACACATACACGCGTACACAGACACACACATGTGAAAACAAAGCCACACACGCTGCACCCTGACCTGAGTCACCTCCTTGTTACCTGCCCATATGACCTCTGGGGTGCTGCTGCTGCCCACTCACCTGGATGGTGTTTCTGATCGAGGACCCAGTCGTCTTTACCCCCCAGACTACTCGCCCTGGGTGGTAATAGAGGTGGGGGGAATCGCAGCGATGATCTCATTTTTTACACATTCTCGGCAGTTCCTTCTGTCAGCTGTTTGTTGGGTAATAGGTAAGTTCGAGCGACTTGGGGAGAACTGAGTTTTTCTCTTTTTTTTTAAATGTAGAAAGCTGTTTTTCTTTTTCTTTTTCTTTTTTTTTATTCTTTTGGGGGCCACAGCCGGCTGTGCTCAGGGCTGACTCCTGGCTGTGCACTCAGGGATCCCTCCTGGTGAGCTGAAGTCTCACAAGGACCTTCTGGGGTGCCGGGATCGACCCCGGGTCGGCTGAGTGCCAGGCAGATGCCCTGCCCCCTGAGCCATCCATCAGTCCTGCTCCTTGTTCCTTTTTCTTAATCTGATTCACGAAGTAATCTTGAAACACCCTCAGGATTGTGCCTGTAGTTATCACGGTTGGATTCTCGGGAACAGTTTTACTGAAAGAATTTTAGTGCTTGAATGTGTGTGTGGTTTTTTAAAATAGATTAGAAAATGCCTTTTATGAACACGCTCAGACTTACTACTACACTGAGATCCGAAGGGTGAAGTCTCATAAGGAGTTTTTGAATAAAACAACTCACCAGGTACGTGATGTTTTTTCCTAAAATGGGAAGTCAAGAGTATCCTGGAGTAGATGATTTAGCATTGGCGGGTTTTGAGATTGTTAAATGGCTTTATTGTTTTTAAATGGCTTTTGCACTTTGTAAAGCTTTTTAAAGGCTTATTTGCATACTGGAAACTTTGAAAGATATTTAAACTTCTGAACTATAAACTCATTCTTGAACTTCAGTTTTGAGTGTTTTTTTCATGCTTTTCTGTCAACTCTTACTAAACATGCTTTTCATATTTCAAGACATGGTGTGTAATGGTGCTTTTTTCTCTTTTCTTTTTTCAGCTTCTGTTTGTTAGACATCAGTTCAAAATAGCTTTCTTCAGTGAGCTGAAACAAGATACACAAAATGCTTTAAAGTAAGTGTCTAAAAGTGAATGAAAATTCCCTTTTTGTAACGATAACATTAGTGGCAGTTTTGAGATCCTAACCAAACTTCTCAGTAACCTTAAAACGCTTGTTTTAAGGAGGACTATAATACATACTTTCTCTTGTCTTGAGAGGAATAGAATATAATAATTAGTCATTTTAAAACAAGATTATTTTAAATTGTTTTCCCAGTGTTGTGAGTGGAACCCAGGGCCTACATGTGCAGACTTCTCCCACTGGGTCATATCCCTGGCCACTATTTTATGATTTTTAAAATAAAATTCTACTTTATTACTGGAATTAAATTTTATAGTGTTAAAGAATTCTGGTTTAATATATTTGAATTTCATGATCTAAATCATTATGTATAGTATTAAGATTTCCCCCTATCTTATTAGCTACTTCTTATTTGTATATTTAATAAAATCTTGTGATTTCCAGTTTATGGGGGGGGGGGGAAGGAAAGCGTGTTTTTGGACAGCCCCTGGCAGGAACTTGGCCATTCCTGGTTCAGGGCTCAGGAATTCAGGAGTGACCCCTAGTGTTGCTCAGGAACCATATGCGGTTCCTGGGGTTTGAACCAGGGCTGGTTGCACGCATGGCAAGTGCCTTCCCTCCTGTCCCCTCTCTCTGACTCTGAGTCCCAAAGTTTAGTATATATTAAACATGAGCTAAGTCAGACTGTGGAATTTTCAAGGCATAGTATTCTGGTTATCCAGTCGGGATTTGGATTTTGTTTATTTTGCTTTATGTTGCCTGTCAGGAACATCATTTCTCGTTCAGGGACCCTGTTAGAACTTTGAAGACCAGTTGCAGACATTCTAGCAGCGGTTAAGCATTTTGTTGCTTTGCTTTCACTGAAACAGAAGCTAAACACCACAAAATACGATCTCTAACTTGAACTCATTTTTAAAAAACAGAGGAATAAGGAACAGCTGTCAAACCCTAAAATTAAGGAGGAGGGGGCTGGAGCAATAGCACAGCGGGTAGGGCGTCTGCCTTGCACGCGGCCGACCCACGTTCGATTCCCAGCATCCCATATGGTCCCTTGAGCACCACCGGTAGTGATTCCTGAGTGCAGAGTCAGGAGTAACCTCTGTGCATCACCGGGTGTGACCCAAAAAGCAAAGTAAATAAATAAAATTAAATTAAGGAGGAGAGGCTAAGTGGTATAGAAGAGATAGAGAAAAATAGGAACAAAATAAAAATCATTCAGAATAAATTACAGAAACCTTGTATTTTATATACCTATATACACATGTACATATGTATACACGTATAAGTTTAGATTCTAGACATCATATTATTTTTGCTACTTTTCAACAACTTCATACAATTATTGCTGCACTGATATGGTTCCTTTTTATTTTTCTGACTTTCTATTTTTGCTTCGGGGACTTACCTGCTACAGTGCTCAGGGACTACTCCTGGCTCAGTGCTCAAGGGTCTGTGTGTTTCCAGGAATAGAACTGAGGCATTATACATGTCAAACATATGCTCCAGCCCTTTGAACTGTCTCTCTGGCCCTGTAGTTCATGTTTTTACTCATGGTATGAATGAAAATGTTTCAGTTTATCTTCAATTCAGACATTGTTCTGGAAAGAACAGTTGTTAGCTGGAGCCGTTAGGGATGAGACTTTCATTTGGAACAAGCCTGTGTTCTCATTACCTCCAACTCATCAGCATAGGGGTCCCCGAGTGGCTCTTCCCTCCCACTCTCCCCCAGGGCCTCTTCCTTGGCCCGGAGACAACACTGTCCTTGGGAGTAGGTGGGTCCAAGTCATTTCCCTGAGTACACCTTCTTTGCAAATTCAATTTCTATTTGTCTGAGAAGGTGGTTAATGTTTCTTTGAAAAGAAAAACCCAGCACTTGTTTCATTTATTTTTATTTATCTTGGGGGGGGGCACCCCTACTGGTGCTCAGGGTTTACTCCCAGCTCTGTGCTCAGGATCACTGCTGGCAGGGCTCAGGGGATTTTAGGTTGTGCTGGGTGGTGAACTTGGGTTGATAACATACAAGGTAAGCTTTCCTACTGCTGTGTCTCTCTGACTCCTATTTTTTTTTTCTTTCTTTCTTTCTTTCTTTCTTTCTTTCTTTCTTTCTTTCTGTGCTGTATATCAAACCCAGGGCCTCAGACTTGCAGATCACTGAGCTTCCTCCAGGCCTTTATATATATATATTATATATATATATATATATATTTTTTTTTTTTTTTTTTTGCTTTTTGTTTTTTGAGGGGAGGGTCACACATAGCAGTGCACAGGGTTACTCTTGGCTCTGCACTCAGGAATTACTCCTAGTGGTGCATATGGGTTGCTGGGGATTGAACCTGGGTCGGCCTTGTGCAAGGCAAATGCCCTACCCAAGTTTGTGACAGATGTTCACGACAGAGAATTATGCTGACAGTGATTCCGTGCTGCAGGGAGAGGTATTGATTTCTCCCATACACATTATTGACCAGTTGATGATTTGTCTAGAAATCAGAGATTAATGTGTCTGTAGCCGAGCTTTGGAGACAGTGTTACCTGTTATTTCTAATAATGTTCATAGCAGTCCTCCTCATTGATTCGTCTCCTGATTAACACCCTTCCTGTGTGTGTGTCAGGAATTACCGGACTGCCTATAATCTTGTCCACGAACTGAGAGCCCATGAAACGAACATTCTGGAAATTAAGACTATGGCGGGATTTATAAACTACAAGGTAACAATTCTCCTTTTGAATAAATGAGAAATTGTCTCTAAGATCAGAATGAATGCCTCTTTAAACTTGGAAAATCAAAATTTCCTATTCTGAGAAGGATTTGATCATCTTCTTGTCCCCCATTCTGTCCTTTTTTTCTCAAGCAATGCCATGGTTCTTAGTCCGGAATATAATACTTTGTTTCTTGATGTGAGTCCTTGGAGCTCCCAATTAGAGCAGTTTTACATGGTCGTACTCATTTTACAGTGTCACACGACTTGTGTTAGGAGCAGAGGGAAATGAGAAAAAAACTGTTTGTATTGTTGAATTTGAACTCTTCATGCCAGCTTTGGCTTTCTGCGCAGCTCGAGAGTTGAGTCTGCTCACTTAGGGAAATGTCTATCCTGTTATTTCAGCATTTTCCTGATTGTTTATGGTAGAGCTAATGTCCTGCCCTGAGCCAGTACAAGTGAAGGCTGCTGGCTTGCTTTTGTTCTTTGCATACACATCTTTTCAAGATCACTGGTGTTGGAATGGTGATACTGGGAGATTGACCCTTGAATTCATGGCTTGTGTGAGAACATTTGGTGCGGCTCTTGTTGAGAACATTTTTGTGATTCCCTTATAGATTTAACGTAGCAATTGCATTTCAGGAAACATTGAGAATGTGTGCATGGGTTTGCAAGTCACATATAGAAGGCTGTTTCCTGCATCTTGTCAAAGGAAATGATCAGACACAACCCAGCAGTAAAGGGCTGGCTAGTACAACGCTCTGTGGTGGTATGACTGTTAAGAAAGAGGTAGATATATGTTTATCAGCATATCAAGATACTCCGTTAGGTGAGAAAAGTGAGGAGTGAGGGACCAGAGCCATAGTACAGAGGAAGATGCTTGTCTTCCGTGTGGCAGACTGGGCATGATCCCTGGCATCCCATCTGGTCCCTCAGACTGTGCGAGGAGGAGTCCCTTAGCACAGAGGCAGGAGTAAGCCTCGAGCACTCGGGAGTGTGGCTCACTGAACAGAAGAGAAATGAAGCCACATGTGCGAGACCTTCTCTTCTCTCTCGGTGTTGTCACATGCCTGCGTATGCCCAGAGTAAGTTAGGCAATGTGCTGTGAGCCTTTGGAAAGAGAAATGGGAGGTTGGAAGTCAGGGATTGATTGAGGGATTTCTCAGGTGTTCCTTTGAGTTTAAGACATGAAACTAAAGAAGAAAATAAACAAAGCCAGTAATCAACGTGCATGCATATAGGTTACTATTTTGACAGAGTACGCCAACATGGCTGACCCGAGTTCGATTCCTCCGCCCCTCTTGGAGAGCCCGGCAAGCTACCGAGAGTATTCGATATGCCAGACACAGTAACAACAAAGTCTCCAATGGAGACGTTACTGGGCCCGCTCGAGCAAATCGATGATCAACGGGAGGGCCTTAACCTTAACCTTAACCTTTGACAGAGTACCCCAGGGTGTCCCGGGGGCTCTCTGATTCTCGTCTGCTAACACCTGCCATGCTCTGATCGTAAAGCGTGTGCTTTCTGCCAGCTCCCAGACTGACAGTCTGTCTGTCCTTTCTTGGGTTTCCACTGGATATGGTTTATTTTTCAGCCCATCTGTGTGTTCCGTAAGCTACTGTTTTTCCCCTCCTGTGTAGTTGTTTGTTTGTTTGTTTTGGCCTTTTGGGGCCATACCCAGTGGTGCTCAGGGGCTGCTCCTGGCTCTGTGCTCAGGATACCCTATGGAATGCTGGGGAGCAAGCCCACTGTCACTCCGGCCTTTCTCTTGTAGAGTTTTTTGTTTGTTTCTTTTTCTTTTGGGCCACACCTGGCTTACTCCTGGCTCTGCACTCAGGAATCCCTCCTGGAGGTGTTCAGGGACCATATGGGATGCTAGGGATCGAATTTGGGTCAGCTGCAGGCAAATCAAACACCCTCCCCACCATGCTATTGCTCTGGTCCCATCTCCTGGATAGTTTTTTAAAGAACTTCTTAAGGGTAGAATTGACCCAGACAAATAATGAGTTTTTCACTTGTGAGAGGGACCTAAGTTTTGGCAGTCCTGTGTCTGTGCTGTTGGGGAGGCTTCCATGTACCGCAGAGAACTCTGGGGAAGGGTCCCCTGGGCCTTTAATGCCAGGCTCACAGTGCGCTTTTAACAGGATCTGCTCTCGACTTTGGTCTTCTTTACTTTGGAGGGCGGTGCGCGACTTCGATTTTCCTCCTGATTTTGGGGTTGACCGGCTGTCTTGCAGATCTGTAGGCTGTGTTTCCAGCACAACACCCCACTGGATGCCATCGCCCAGTTCCGGAAACACATCGATTTGTGCAAGAAGAAAGTGGGCAGCGCGGAGCTGGCCTTCGAGCACGCAGCGTGGATGTCCAAACAGTAAGTTTCCCTGCCGGGTGCGCCTGGCCCCTGGCGTGAGTCTAGCGCAGACCTTGGAGGATGTCAGTTGGTTTCCTGGGCAGTGTTCCTCAGCGCCATGGCCCTTCAGGGTCCCCCACAGGGCCTCAGGTGAAAAGCTTATGAATGGGGATGGGGAAAGCACCACAGGGTAAGAATAGGGGCTCACCTGGTGGCACTTCCAGGACGTGTCGCAGGAAGGAAGCAGCGTTGGGAAGAAGTTAGAAGTTCTGCTCTATGAAATGAGTCAGAACGAAGGGGATAGACATAGAAGGATTGCATTCATCTGGGGAACATAAAGAAACAAAATAGGAGACTAACACCCAAGAGTGGCCGAGATTAGTACCAGGAGTTTTGGTCCATGACTTGGAGGCCAGCCACACATGCTAGGGGAAAAGGGAGCTCAGATAGAGAAGGGAGCACCAAATAAAGGGTGTTGGGAGGATCCTCCCAGGATGGGAGAAGCTGAAAGTAGACTATAGACCAAACATGATTGTCACCCATTGCCTCTTTTGGAAACCACAACACCCAAAGGGAGAGAGAGAACAAAAGGGAATGCCCTGCCACAGAGGCAGGGTGGGATGGAGGAGATGGGGGGTGGGAGGGATTCTGGGACCTGTGGAGGTGGAAAATGGGCACTGGTGGAGGGATGGGTGTTTGATTCGTGTATAATTGAAACCCAAGCACAAAAATATGTAAATCTGCAACTGTACCTCATGGTGTTTCACTAATAAAAATTAAAAAGAAAAAAAAATTCTGCTCTAGAGCAAAGGCCTCCAGACTTCCGTGGCCTTTGCAAGACCACCCTGAAGCAATCCCCTCCAAATATGACGCCCCGGTCACCTCAGAGGCTTGTCCTGTTCCCTCTCGTCAGCCCCCACCCAGAGGGCTGCTGTTGAGCGTTTGGGGAAACACCAACACGTTTCCAGGCTCAGTCGATCTTCGCTCCTGCAGTGGCCCATGAGGACCAGTTAGCTTGGGAGTTTCCGTCCCGGCTCTAGGCTCAGGTGGTCGGCAGTCGCCAGGACATAACCCTGCCCCGTGGCGTTCACTGCTTGAGGTGTCACGCTTCAAAATGGCCCCAGTGAAACGGGGCCCAGAAATGATGTTTGAGTGCCAGGGACCCTCACACAGGCACTTTGGTGGCCCGCTCATCAAGGCCTAGGGAAGTGTGGAGAAGGAGGAGGTTATCTGTCTTCACCCCCAAATCACCCTGTGGTTTCTGGGCCCACCTTTGAGTGCATCATCAAGGTGCCAGCTCCCGGTTGAGCGACTATGGGAAGGGAGATTTTTCTTTTCATTTTTTTTTAACGTCTTGACTTTATTTTTCTCTCTTTTTCTTTTCTCCTCCCAAGATTCCAGGCCTTTGGAGATTTGTTTGATGAAGCTATTAAGTTAGGGCTGACGGCTATTCAAACTCAGAACCCTGGTTTCTATTACCAGCAGGCCGCGTACTATGCCCAGGAGCGGAAGCAGCTCGCCAAAGCCCTCTGCAGCCACGAGGTGAGTGACCATGGCCTCTCGCCCCTGGCCTGGGAAGAGAATCGGTTTGTCTGGCCTGCGTCTCCAGGAGTTCAGGGGTTATTGTCACCTGTGAGCGGCACAGAATTCATGAGAGACCTAGTTGGTGACCGGCAGCCAGTGTGCGGCTGCAGACAAGCCGAGACTTTGTGACAGGCTCAGGGCGACTACCAGAGGGGGACACGGAGGGAGCTGGGGGAAGGGGCTGCTGATGAGCCCTGGAGAGGGTCCTTTGCTTTCTCTAGGGGGCTCCAGCCTCAGGCATGGCACAGAGCTGGCACAGCGCTGCCTCAGCCTGCGCGGATTATGGTTAGATACCAGTTTCCTCCTCCACACCTTTGACATCTACCTAATTACACACAGACACATACAGACACACAGAAACACAGATACACAGACACACACACACCCTTAACATGCAATTATGTTGGTTTCTCTTCTCTTAAAATCATGGTGGTGTTCTCTGAAGATAGGTAACTGCACAAAACTGCCTCAGCCTGACCTGATTATATTTAGGTACCAGTTTCCTTCTCAACACCCTTAACATCTACACACACACACACACACACACCCTTAACATGTCTCTTGAAACCACGGTGGTCTTCTCTGAAGATAGGCAACGTCCCCAGTAACACAGCCGTAAGGCCTAGCCCAGGGATCCGGAGTGAGAGCATGGCGGGGAGGGCGTTTGGTACCCCTTGTGGTACCCCGAGCCCACCAGGAGTGATCCCTGATTACCGACCCAGGAGTAAGCCCAGAGCAGCACGTAGGTGTGTCCCCCAAACAAAAATCCAACAAAAACAGTTCAAAATTGCAGTTTGCAGATTAACACTTTAAATGCATAGATTCCCCGCATAAGTGGTGGTATGGCCATTTATTGCTATGTTGTTGGTGTGTGATTTATCACTTGATTGTATTTTTTATAGTTTTAAATTTTGTTCTATTGTGATTTGGACACAGTAGAGTTGGGAGTATCAGGCAGGCATACCCGATGTTGTTCAGGGCCAATATCTGCTCTGCTCAGAAGATGTCTGATGGTACTCAGAGGACCCTGTGTGGGGCTGGAGGGTCCATCCAGGGTTGACTGTTTGCAGACCAAGTGCCTTGACTTCTGGACTCTCTTTCCAGCCCCAGTGGACACATTTTTTTTTTTTATTTTGCGATGCACAGGGTTTACTCCTGGCTCTGCACTCAGGAGTCACTCCTGGCGGTGCTCAGGGGACCATATGGGATGCTGGGAATCGAACCCTGGTCGGCCGCGTGCAAGGCTAACGCCCTACCCTCTGTGCTATTGCTCCAGCCCCAGGGGGGAACTCAATATTTTAAAGATGATTAAAACTAGATTTTATAAGTATGTGAGGAAATGGCTCGTAATAAATGACTTTATATGCAAAATGCCATTTCTGATAAATAATCATGTGAGAAGCCTTTAAAGTTTGCTTGTCTCTGAAGCAGAATTTCACTCTGAGGAAATGTAAGGCCTTTAGGTACCAGTTTCCTTCTTGACACCTTGCGGTAATAGCAAAGTTTATTTATGAAGAACTTCTTATAGATTTATTAATTTGGGGCACAATAGAAATAGCGAGAAGAACAACTAAAGGGAGTTTGTTACAATGGGGTGTAGTTAGCAGCCATGAGAAAAACAACGTTTTAGGAGAGTATTTAATGGTTTGGTGAAAAGCACAAAATATATCTAAATGAAAAATTAGTTTAGTTGATAATAAGAAAATGTTGGCATGCAGCATCTGAAAGGACAATGTTATACATTTGTGAACAGTGATGGAGTTAGAGGCAGCTTCTGTTTCCATCCTTTGGGGTGCTTTCTGCATTACTCAACAGATACCTGTGTTGAAAATGTATCTTCAGAGGGGAGCAATTGTTAAAAAAAAGAAAAGTAAAGAAATGCAAATTTTAAATTCCTGTGCTGAGAATATCCTTCCACCAAGAACACTAGTTTCTGGGTTAGTGAAAAGAAGAAAAAATGAAACAACGTTATAAAACAATTTTATAACATTGTTTCATTTACACAAAAAGTACTTACAATTTGGGATATATGTGTTAACATATTTTGTAACCTTTATCTGCCGGTTTGTTTAAAAAAAAAAATGGGTTCCTCGGAAATAATGTACCAGAATCAGATGGATTTTCATGAGACTTTCGAAATATTAAATTAAATGTTTTGAGTTTAGTTTTTCTGGAAATTTAACAAGTTAAAATATTCATCGACTAGGAGTGTTGCTCAGAGGCAGAACATTTGTTTGGCATGTATGAGGATTTGGGTTTGATTCCCAGCAGAGCACAGGGACAGACAGACAGACACACACGCACACACGCACACTTGCTTGGGAGATATTTAATATTTTAATGAGTCGGTGTTTGTATTCACGAGGACTTTTAATTCTATTAAAGAGGGCACCTTGGTTTGTGATGGATCGTGAAAACTTATTCAGGTTGTGTTTACTTCACAGGCCTCTGTGACGTACCCCAGTCCTGACCCCTTAGAGATGCAAACGGAAGTTCTTGACTTTTACGGACAGAGAGCCTGGCGACAAGGAATACTAAGTACTTCGTCTTCTTCCTCCCTCTTCCCCCAGCCTCGAAAGGAAAAGATAGCGGTCATCAGTTTTTTCACCGTGTGCTCCTGAAACACGTCTATCTTAGGGTTTCCATATCTCTTCCGTCTCGAGTGCTTTCTTTTTCCCTCCCTTCATCTGCAGTAAGACCTGAATAGCAGCCACATGTATCCGTCTTTAAGGACACACAGCTCGGAAGCCGGTTTGGTCTGCTTAAATATTTCAGTTCCCCTTAACTTTCCCAGTTCCTGGCGACATTTTCAAGCAGCATTAACGTGTCTTGCCTGAAAGTGAATATTTTTTTCCCCCATGTCATTCGTGATACGAGTTTGCTGTGTGCCTTTGGATGCTCAGTGTGGGGAAGCCTGGCCACGGGGAGGGGGGATATCCACTTAACCAAAAGAATTTAGAGCTCCATGCCGTTCTCTTCCGAGCACGGGTCACAGAGAAGGGCCCCCCCAAGAGAGCTGTCGCCTAGCGCCTCGAAAACGCGAGAGTGTTTGAGAATATTCAAGTTAAGGACTCAAGGAGGGCCCATGTCCAGTGCTCCTGTGATGAGCTGGTGTCCCCTGGCCGCTCTCACATGGGGTGCGTCTTGTCTTACTCAGGTTTCGATCTTTCTGACCCCGAGAAAGAGAAGGCGGGAATTCTTGCCATTCAACTCAAGGAGAGGAGCGTCGTTCACTCCGTGAGTGTTTCTGCAGCGTCCCCCGAGGTCGGTTTGTTCCGGGATGCCATCCATATTCCAGGAGACAGGCTTGTTTTGTTTGTTTGTTTGTTTGTTTTTCCCCCATGACTGCAGCTTTTCCCTCCATCTCTGTCCCCGCAGGAAATGATTATAACTCTCCTGAGCAATGCTGTCGCACAGTTCAAGAAGTACAAGTGTCCCAGGATGAAAAGTCACCTGAGTAGGTATCCGCCACGCGGCCCGATTGCTCGCGGCCTGGAGCCCTCTCCCACCCGTACTTGGACCCCTCTTTTCCTTTGTAGTGGTTCAGATGGGAGAGGAATATTATCACGCGAAGGACTACAGCAAAGCGCTGAAGTGAGTCCTCTCTGCTCTTGATTCTTCTTTTTAAATTTTCGTTTGCTTTTTGGGTCACACCCAGCGAGGCACAGGAGTTACTCCTTGCTCTGCACTCAGGAATTACGCCTGGTAGTGCTCCGGGGACCATATGGGATGCCGGGGATTGAACCTGGGTCGGGCGCGTGCGTGGCAAACGCCTTCCCGCTGTACTATTATCGCTCTAGCCCTGCTCTTGATTCTTGTGCTGTTTTGACGGCCACAAAGGGAGAAGAGGAAATTTCCTCATGGCCACATTTCATTCGGCTGCCACTCAGCTCCGTTTCTGTCTCGTTTCGGTCGGATAATGTCACCTGCTCGTTGGGTGGTTTCCAGAGTCGCACGTGGGAGGGGCGGGCTGAGCCTTCGATGACTCCGTCCTGTGCTTCCGCAGACTTCTGGACTATGTGATGTGTGACTATCGCAGTGAGGGGTGGTGGACCCTGCTCACGTCTATCCTGACCACCGCCCTCAAGTGTGCCTACCTCATGGCCCAACTGAAGGACTACATCACCTACTCGCTCGAGCTCCTCGGAAGGGGTGAGTCCCGGGGGCAGGGACAGCTATGATGCCCAGCCAGCCTCGGCCGGTGGAGAACAGTCTCCCCGCCCGTCACTGGGCACACGGTGACTTTTCTTCACCTAGAGTTTCAGCACAAGTTCGTACGTGGCAGCACTAACTTTGAGAGTTGGGCTTTTGTGTGAATTCTCTAGAACTGCACTGAGCCTGCCTTGACGTGTGTGTGTGTGTGTGTGTGTGTGTGTGTGTGTGTGTGTGTGTATCCATGGTACGTGGTGCTAGGAATCAAGTGTTCTTCAATAAAACACATTCATCGGGGACCCCTGGCGGCCTTTCCTATCCCAAACGCTTTCTCTTCTTTGCATCAGCTTCAACTCTGAAAGATGACCAAAAATCTCGCATTGAGAAGAACCTCATAAACGTTTTGATGGTAGGTGTTGGGGTGGGGGGACTGTTAGTGGGTGTGGGTTTGGGGGTGCCCTTCCTCACCCTGAATTGGTCTGAACTCACCTGGGGACCGTTGGATTCTCTGCTGCAGAATGAAAGTCCCGAGCCTGAGCCCGACTGCGACCCCCTGGCCGTGAAGGCTGCTCAGAAGCTGTGGGCAGACAGGGTGTCCCTGGCCGGCAGCAACATCTTCACCATTGGCGTCCAGGACTTCGTGCCCTTTGGTGAGTAGCCAGCCCCGCCTGCTGTAGGCTTCCAGAGAATTCCACCTTGTTCCCACACAACAGAGCCCTGCCAGATCACAGAGACTCCAGTTAGAGTGTTTTCGAAAGTACCATCGTGTTACAGACTTACGAAGATCAAGCTTTGACTATTCATAAAAATGTGATTAACTAGTTTGGTTTTGGGGGCCACACCTGGTTGATGCTCAGGGCTGACCCCTGGCTCTGCGCTCAGTGATCTCTTCTGGCTGTCCTCGGGGGCACTCTGAGGGGTGCTGGGTTCAAACCCAGGTCGGCCATGTGCAGGGCGAGTGCCCTACTCGCTGTACTATCTCTCCAGCCCCAAAGATCCAGCTTTTAAAAAGCGTCTGTCTTCAGATTCCTTCCATGTGCAGTTTTGTTATTTGAAATTTGAAATGCATTCCAAGAGACAATGATTGAAAAGATTTGTCGTTCAGTAATTTTTGGCATCCTGACCATTGAGCACTTCCACTTCAGGAGCTCTGTTACCTCCTGTAAGCTGCTAGAACAAATTCCATAAAAAGCTTTGTGCCGAGGCGGGGTTTTTTTTTTTTTTTTTGCTTTTTGGGTGACACCCGGCAATGCACAGGGCTTACTCCTGGCTCTGCACTCAGGAGTCACTCCTGGCAGTGCTCAGGGGACCATATGGGATGCTGGGAATCAAACCCGAGTTGGCCGCGTGCAAGGCAAACGCCCTACCTGCTGTGCTATCTCTCCAGCCCCATATATATATATATATATATATATATATATATATATATATATATATTTAATGTGATGAATTTTATTTTGTTTGTATCTTGCATTAGATGCTGTCAAGTGAGAGACACAAAGCCCAAGCCAAACAGAAAAATTTATTTTGGTACATTGGAGGAACGTTTGACTGGAGAACAAAAAATTTTAAGAAAATAGCCTGTCTTTTTACAGATATCTTAAGAATTGCCAGAGTGGGCCAGAGAGAAATAGTACAAGTGCTTAAGGCCCTTGTCCTGCATACAGTTGACCTTGGTTCTATCCCTGTTACCCCATATTGTCCTGAGCACTGTGAGGATGATCCCTGACTACACAGCTAGGAGAGGCAGGTATTTTGGAATAAATTAAAACCAGCAAAACGGCCCCTTTTCCTTCTTTACAGTCCTGTGTGAGGGGCCGGCGTGATAGTCCAGTGGGAAGGCGCTTGCTGCTCACGGGGGTTTGATCCCGGCCCTCCATATGGTCCTCTGAGCAGCTCCAGGACTGGTCCCTGAGCACAGAGCCAGGAGTCAGCACAGCTGTGTGTGCCCTCTCCCTCCCCCAAATCAAAATAGAAACGAAAACAAAATTTTATGTGAGTTACATTTCGGGAGCACGCCTACATTTTAAAAGTGCAGGACAGGTTTGGGAGCCAGATTTTAAATTTTGCCGACGAGAAGCAAGCTAAGATCCATCTGTCGAGTAGCTTCCCGGGCGGGAGGGCACTGGGCCTCATCCTCCCGGGGAGCCTCAGGCCCAAGCGTCACCATGGGCGTAACTCGGCCCTGACCTTTGACTTCTAGTGCAGTGCAAAGCCAAGTTCCACGCCCCGAGTTTCCACGTGGACGTTCCTGTGCAGTTCGACGTGTATCTGAAGGCCGATTGCCCCCACCCCGTCAGGTTCTCCAAGCTCTGCGTCAGCTTCAACAACCAGGTAATGGCACCGTGATGGGGAAGCACCGAAGTAACCACCACCAGGTACGCACGCCTGAGCGTAACTGCTGTTCTGTTGGGTCAGGATTTGGGGCCCTGACGGTTTTCGCCGTCGTGAATGGACCGAGGTGAAATATGGTGAAAGAAACACATTTTTCTGGACTTCCTGTTACTTCTGGAGTTACTGTTAGCTTCCAGAATATTCTAGACATTTCGGAGGCACTCATGTTTGGATAAGTCGTCCCTCCCTTCCCCCCTCAGAATTAGGATCATTTTATCTTTTCTACTATAGCACCGTCCTCCTGTTGTTCATCAATTTGCTCCAGCGGGCACCAGTAACGTCTCCATTGCGAGACTTGTTACTGTTTTTGGCATATCGAATACGCCATGGAGAACTTGCCAGGCTCTGCTGTGCAGGCGGGATACTCTCAGTAGCTTGCTGGGCTCTCCAAGAGAGACGGAGGAATCGAACCCGGGTCGGCCACATACAAGGCAAAAGCCCTACCCGCTGTGCTATTGTTCCAGCCCCAGGTGCATATGTTTTTTTCGTTAGGTTATTTACAGTATTACTTATTTTTTTCACTGTTATTTTTATTTTTAAACACATTTTTTAAGTCATTTTATTTTTTTATTTAAAATTTTGTTTACTGAATCACTGAGAATAGACCCTTACAAAGCTGTTCGCAATTAGGTTTCAGTCCTGCAGTGTTCCATTTTTTGAAGTGTGACAGTCATGCTTCCAAGCATTTTCTTTCTCTTCCATTCCGACTCTTGCAGGCATAAGCTCGCTTGGTAGAGAATCATCCTCAGGTCACTCTTGTTTTTGATGTGGCGGGGAGTGGGGTAGGGCGGGAACTGGGGGGCGGCTTAGGCCTCACCTGGCGGTGCACAGGCTGCCTGGGATATTTCCATGTGACCCTGGGCGTATATGTATGGAGTAGGTCTGCAGATCAGGTGCTTACCGGTCATCATGCTTCATTTCACCACCTGAGAGGTGACCCTGTGGGCTGAGTACAGCCTCTTCACGCAGAAAGCCTAAGTTTCATCCCTGGCACCCCCTGGTCCCCTGGGCACTCCATGTGTGTCCCTCTTTTAAAAAACTAAAACTTTGTTTTGAAACTTGTTTGTTTTTTTGTTTGTTTTGGCTTTTTGGGTCACACCTAGCGATGCTTAGGGCTTCCTCCTGGCTCTGCACTCAGGAATCACTCCTGGCGATGTTTGGGGAACCCTATGGGATGCCGGAGATTTGAACCCAGATTGGCTGCATGCAAGGCAAATGTCCTCCCTGCTGTCCTATTGCTCCAGCCCTGAAACAAAATTTTTAAAAAATTTTATGGTTTGGGGCTGGAGCAATAGCACAGCGGGTAGGGCGTTTGCCTTGCATGGGGCTGACCTGGGTTCGATTCCCAGTGAGGGCAGAGCCAGGAGTAACCCCGTGCATTGCTGGGTGTGACCCAAAAAGCAAAAAAAAAAAAAATTTATGGTTGAAGGGGTCAGAAATAGTATAGTGGGTAAGGAGTTTGATCCTTACTGTACAACATTATTAAGGCTGTGACAGTAATAATAACATGAACACCTACCATGAGTAACGGCGTTGATAAGTTCGATGTGGCTTAGACCTGAGCTCTACCCCGTAGGGCCCCCTCAGCACTGCCAGCAGAGACCCCTGAGTACAGAGCCGGGAGGAACCCCTAAGCACTGCAGGATGTGGCCCACGCGGAAAGCAGACAAACTCCATGGTTGAGAGAGCTAGGACCAAGAGCAGACATGGAGCCCCTCACCAGCAGGCATTATTGAATTGGTCTTAGCATCGCAGTGGACCTGACAAAAATCAAGCATGTTTGAGCCCCACTGGAATGCCAGCATTTAGGGGGTGGGCTGGGGGCTGCTGGTTCCCAGTGGCTCACGTGGTAAGGAAGACCAGCTTCAGTAGCAGAGGCTAGATATCCAGCTAGCCTTAGGCCCACAGCGGGGGTGGGGGGGAGGTGTGCATGACAGAGATTAGATTAATCCTGCACTAGATGAAGAGGAGAGGGGAGATGTTTGTTTGGCAGCTAGACAGCGCTGGGTGGGCAAGTGGAGACACAGCCCGCCTAAGCTGGGAACCTGGGGTGGTAGGGCCCGGTCCTGCAGGACCCTGGAGGAGCGCAGTGGAGAGAAGGGAGGAAGGAGATGGAAATTGGGCACCCGCACTGGTCCTTGCATGGGTGCGTTAGCTGTGCTACGTACGGCTTGTGGGAGAGCGGTAGAGCTCCCTGTTGCCGTAGTTCTTGACTTGGAAGAATCTGATGATGCTGATTGAGGTTAATTTCCTAAGCCGGAAGAGGGTGACCGGAAGAGGAGTATGGATTTTTTTTTTGCTCCTGGGGGTATGGTGGGGAGAGGTGGTCTCCCCAGCAGTGCGCGGGAGGCCCTTCCCAGTGATATTTCAGCACAGGGACTGACCTGTGAGCCCAGGTGAACACTGGGTCTTGGCGGTGGCGGCCAAGTCAGGAGGGAGGGAAGAGAGCAAGGATGCTGCCTCCTGCAGGCTGCCCTGGGTGCGGGTGCACAGGGAGAGACGCAAGCCCCTCCCTCCCCTTCCCCTCGCCCCCCCCCCCCCCCACACACACACACACTTCTTCCTGCTCTTTTCCAGGAATACAACCAGTTCTGTGTCATTGAAGAAGCAGCCAGTGCAGGTGACGTGTTGGACCCTTCGGCCCAGGGCCCCATGTGCTTGCTGCCTGGCAAAACCAGGAAGTTTTTATTCAAGTTTGTCGCCAGAACCGAGGACGTGGGAAAGAAGATCGAGGTCAGTCGCGGCCTCTGGCTTGGTGGTTGGCGTGTTCGGGTTCATGGTTGGGCCCCGCACCCAGGCATGCTCAGAGCTGACTCCTGGTGAGGCTTGGGGACCCCGGGGGATGCCAGGGACCAGACCCAGCCAGGGCAGCTCTGGCCGTGCATTCGTGCTGTTGGTCTCTTGGCTGCAAGGTGGCCTGGACAGTAGCCCGTCAGGGTGACCTCCTGGGACTCCAGCCGCCCGGCCGGGGAGGATGGCGCTCCCACGAGCTCACTCCCCGCAGATCACGTCTGTCGACTTGGTCCTGGGCAGCGAGACGGGCAGGTGCGTGGTCCTGAACTGGCAGGGCGGAGGCGGAGACGCCGCATCCTCCCAGGAGGCCCTGCAGGCCTCGCGCTCCTTCCGCCGGCGCCCCAAGCTCCCGGCCAGCGAGGTGCCGTGGGACGGCTTGGCCATGCAGGCCAGCACCATGTGAGTGGGGGCTGCCTCCCGGTGTGGCGCGGCCCGCCCGGTGCCCGGACCCCTAGCTCAGTGGCCACCTCCCCGCAGGGTCATCTCCAGGGTCCCCAACATATCCGTGAGTCTGCGCCATGCGCCGCCTGCCCTGGCCAATGAAATGTACTGCCTGGTGGTGGCCGTCCAGTCACATGAGAAGACCCGCATCCGGGACGTGAAGCTCACGGCTGGCTTGAAGCCCGGTAAGCCTCCCTTTCGGTGGGGAATAAAGTGGTCAGGGCGGAGGTGGGAAGGGTGGGCTCCCTTCAGACTCTTCAAACGCTGCCCTTGGAGGCCCAGCGTTCGTCACGACCATTCTTGGCCACTGGTCCTGCCATTGGGATCAGACACGGGGACCCTCCAGGGGACCCTGTGCTGCCAGGGACCAGCTGAGGGTCAGCTGTGCCAACCTTTGGGCCACCTCTCTGGCCCCTCTGTCTCCTTTTTCTCTTCTTTCTTGATTTTTAAGCAAAATTGTTTGTGTTGTCTTGGGCCCATACCCAGGAGTGACAGTGCACAGGGCTTCCTCCTGGCTCTGTGCTCAGGTATCACTCCTGCTGGTGCTCGGGGGACTCTAGGGGATGTCAGAATCAAACCCAGGTCATCCGTATGTAAGGCAAGCACACTCCCCGTTGTGAGGTGCCGTTAGCTCTGGCCCTCAAGCAAAATAGTTCTTTTTATTTCAATTAATTTACTTAGAAAGTCATGAGGGGAAAGAGAGGAAGTAAATGTTCAGAGAGAACAGATAGCAAAGAGCGAGAGAGTGAGAGAGAGAATGAGAGAGAGAGAGAGAGAGTGCAAGAGCAAGAGAGAGGTATTTAAGGGAGAATGGGGACTTGAAAATGCAACTCGGGCTGGAGAGATAGCATAGCGGGTAGGGCATTTGCCTTGTACGTGGCCAACCCGGGTTCGATTCCCAGCATCCCATATGGTCACCTGAACACCACCAGGAGTAATTCCTGAATGCAGAGCCAGGTGTAACCCCTGTGCATCGCCTGGTCTGTCCCAAAAAGCAAAAAAAAAAAGGCAACTCAAACTCCTATTAAAAAAAAAGTCAGGGCAACTTCATTGAACATTAAATAAGCATTGTTGGGTTGGGGCTGGAGCGATAGCATAGTGGGTAGGGCGTTTGCCTTGCATGCGGCCGACCTGGGTTCAAATCCCAGCATCCCATATGGTCCCCTGAGTACTGCCAGGAGTAATTCCTAAGTGCAGAACCAGGAGTAACCCCAGAGCATCGCTGGGTGTGACCGAAAAACCAAAATAAATAAATAAGCATTGTTAGGGGCTGGGACACTAGTACAGCAGGTGAGGTGCTTGCTTTGTACCCCATGTGAACCCCCAGCACAATCAGGAGTGATCCCTGAGTTCAGAGCGAGGAGTAACCCCTTGGTGTGGCCAAGTGTGGGACACCCCCTGCCCTCGACCCCCTGCACCCCTCCCCAATAAGCCTCACTGGCATCACTGCCGAAGATTAGTTTAAAACACAATTTCCCCATGGGGCCTGCGTCCAGCACCAGTTGTCTCTGCCCATGGGTCAGGGAGTTTCTCTCCGCGTTTCTAGGACAAGACGCCAATTTGACTCAGAAAACACATGTGACTCTTCACGGCACGGAGCTGTGTGACGAGTCCTACCCGGCCTTACTCACCGACATCCCCATTGGGGACCTGAACCCCGGGGAGCAGGTGACGGGGGGGGGGGCGCGGGGCGCGGGGAGGGTGGCACTGGGCTCACATTACCACCTCCCTCCCACTCACATGCAGAACACACACCGGAGGCAGTTCCAGCGCCTTCTGGCACTAAAAAGGAGTTTCCAGAATGAACACATTGGGGCTAGAGGGAGCGAGGTGGGGGGGATCGTCCTTACTTACAGGTGGGAAACGGCCAGCAGCATTTCAGGCAGGCCATTTCCGGTCAGACGATCCTAATGTAAAATTGTTGCCTGATTTTGTTTTTTTTTTTAAAAAGAGAGAGACTGTATTTTGGTGAGAAGACCTTTCCGTTCACTGTCACAAACTTAAAGGTCTTGAACGAGTGCCCAAGAATTCTTGGCCAGTTGAGAATGAGGGTGGGCCAGAGGAGTAGGGGTGAGGGGGAGAGTGCCAAGGTCTAGAGTGTGGGCTTGGGATGCGGAGGACCAGGCCTGGTCCCCGAGCACCGCTGGGGAGCCCAGAACCCAGACTTAGGACCTGGGAGGCGCCGTCTAGAGAAAGCGTTGCAAGAACGTGGCCAGTGGGTACTGGGAAACATCCAGGGCACGGACACGGCCATGGAAAGTGGGGCTGGAGGTGTCATGGTCTGTGGGGTTGAGTGGAATTGTCCCTGCTTTGGTTCCAGCTGGAGAAAATGCTCTTCATCCGCTGCGGGACCGTGGGCTCCAGAATGTTCCTCGTGTACGTTTCTTACCTGATCAACACAACTGTTGAAGAAAAAGAGATCGTCTGCAGGTGCCACAAGGTGCTGTGTGTTTCACATTCCCTCTGCCTCGTCATTGCCCCTGGCCCCCGAGGCGGGTGGCTCGAGGGCTCATAGGTGGAGTGCTGGGTCACATTTGTAGGTGCGTTGGGGGGTGCCATGGGCCACATCCCGGTGTTGTGCATGTGGAGCCGGCGCTCACCCACTGTCCCCCACCCCTTAGTCGTTGACAGGTTGTTTTATTTTTAGCTTGTTTTTGGGTCGCACCCGGCGATGCTTGGGGGTTACTCCTGGCTCTGCACTCAGGAATTACTCCTAATGGTGCTCAGGGGACCATATGACCAGGGATCGAACCCGGGTCAGCCATGGGCAAGGCAAATGCCCTTCCTGCTGTACCAAGGGCATCCAATACTCATGCGTTAGAAATAGGTCTCACTGACTTTTTCCTGGTAGAGAGAGCCAGCCCACCTGAGATTGTGTGCCAGAGAAAACCCCCCAAAAACACAAACACAAAACCCAACCCAAATCCTTTGAAAGACGTTAGTGCTTGTGGCTGCTTTGTGCCATCAGATGAAAGAAGTTGACTTGTCCGCGGAGGGTCCTGAGCAGGGGCATCTCCCTGGATGGAGTCATTTTCCTGTCAGAAAGTCTGGGAGCTGGAGAGATGCAGTGCAGGGGTTAAGGCTTGATTCCTGGGGTCCCGCAGAGTTCCCCAAGCCCCTCGAGGAGTGACCCCCGAGACTGCCCCGTGCCTGGCCCCCAAACCCAAACAGAAGACAGCTTTCGGTAATCCCCGGGAGCTGAGTTTGGGCTCCCGAGCAGGGGGAGGTTCCTCCTGGCTGCCCAGAAGGGCTTGCTCGCAGCAGCACCACCGCCCGTGGTGACACAGGACTCAGGGTTGCCTGTCCGTCTCCCCGCAGGACGAGACGGTCACCATAGAGACGGTCTTCCCATTCGACGTGGCAGTAAGATTTGTTTCTACAAAGGTGCGTTCCGGGCATTGTCCCTGGAATCCCCGGGGTCTGGCTGTGGGTGGTGAGCGGCCACCTCACCTGCTCTTCCCCGCGCCCTGGCAGTTCGAGCACCTGGAGAGGGTCTACGCCGACATCCCCTTCCTGCTGATGACAGACCTCCTCAGCGCGTCCCCCTGGGCCCTCACCATTGTGTCCAGTGAGCTGCAGCTGGCGCCTTCCATGAGCCCCGTGGATCAGCTGGAGTCCCAGCTGGACAAAGGTACGGACGGACGGATGGACAGGGTGCGGGCGCCCTTTGCCTGGAAGGAGGCGGGTGCTTGTACATGTGCAGTGTAAGACCCGGCCGTTTGCTGTGTGACACGTGAACTGAGAATCTTGGACACTTTAGCTCGGGGAAATGTGCATTTGACACGGCAGAAGTTATCACTTGTAGACCTGTGACCTATTTTAGTTAAAAACTTTTGCTTTTGTTGTAGCTCATACATTTGACTATTGTTGGTTGTTAGCAAACGTGGCCATTTTGGTGAACTTTGGAGAATCAGGCTATGTTTACCAAGAAATTAATGTGAACACCCCAGATTTTTTAAAAAGCTCTCCCCCCCCCCTTTTTTTTTCTTTTTGGGCGATGCACAGGGGTTACTCCTGGCTCTGCACTCAGGAATTAACTCCTAGCAGTGCTTGGGGGATTGAACATATGGGATGCTAGGAATCGAACCCAGGTCAGCCACGTGCCAGGCAAACGCCCTACCTGCTGTGCTATTGCTCCAGCCACTTCAAAAAACTTTCTTAATAGGCTTGAATTAGTGTTTTTGATATACTCTTTTTTTAAAAAAAATGTTTTTACATACAGAGCTTCCATATCGTTGCCTGGTTCTTATTTTAAAATTTTACTTTAGGCACTGTGAGGTACTGTTAGTGGGAGGCTTTCACGCATGGAACATTTGAGTACTACACCCTCCGCCATAGTCCCGGTACCCCTCCTCTTCCCCCCCAGCACTCCTGCTGCCGTCAGCTTCCTGCTGGAAAAATACTTTGGGGGTCAGTGATATGCAGTACCCCACACAGCAGAGATCAGTAGTTCCTGGCTTGTGCTCCGGAGTGCCCCCTGGTGGCGCTGGGGGACTCTACAGGATATTGGTCAAACCAGGGCAAGCGTCTGAGTTCCTGCGCTGGCTCTCTGGCTGTCCTTAAAATGATTTCAAGGAGTTAAAGATGGATTAGCATCTTTGCCACCTTTTGCTGTAGATCAGTCCACCCACAATCATACCCGTGATTTTTCTCTGCATCCTTCCTTGGAAACAGTTCTGTTGAGGGATATTGTTCTTGTTTGATAATCTCACTTAGGACCGGAGTGATAGGACAGCAGGTAGGGCGTTTCCCTTGCATGCGGCCGATCTGGGTTGGATCCCCAGCATCCCATATGGTCCCTTGAGCACCACCAGGAGTAATTTCTGAGTACAGAGCCAGGAGGAACCCCTGCGCATCGCCGGGTGTGACCCAAAAAAACAAAAAAAAGAAAGGAAATCTCATTAATCTACTCAAGGCACTCAATGTCTGCTCTCATTTAGGGGCGATACTTTGGGTGCTGGGGATGGGACTCGAGTGGGTCTGATCCCCGAAGCCTGAGCGTCCCACCAGGAGGGGCCCCTGGAAATGGACTGGAGTGTGAGGGCGGGAATCTCAGGAAGGTTGCTTTGGTTGGGCCCTTGTTTGGCCCGAGGACATCTGGTATGACAGTGATGAGAAGCAAATGCCCTGGCTAAGGAGTCAGTGACCACGGGGTTCTGTGGGGAGGCCACGTGGGATGATCAACAAAGGGTATTATTTTTACTTTTTTTCTCTTTCGTTTGGGGGCCATACCCAGCGATGCTCGGTGGTTACTCCTGGCTCTGCACTCAGGAATTGTTCCTGACAGGGCTCAGGGATTTTGTGGGCCAGCGATCAACCCAGATTGACTGAGTGCAAGACAAGTACCCTCCCCACTGACCTATCACTCTGGCTCCTGAATTCAAATTTTTACTCACAGACACTCTTGTCACAGACATACAGATCTATGTTATTTTAGTTGCAATGGAGTATTAGATAGGGTCAAAAAAAAATACTGAATGGGAATTTTAAAAAGTTTTTTTGGGAGGGGGGGCAGGGCATGGGTGGATCACACCCAGAGATGGTCAGGGTCACTTCTGGCTCTGCACTCAGCAATCACTCCTGGCTGTGCTTGGGGGGACCATATGGGATGCAGGGGTCAAACCCGGGTTGGCTACATGCAAGGCAAATGCCCTCCCTGCTGTACTATCACTCTGGTGCCAAAAATGTCATTTTGTATCAGGCCAGAGAGAGGGGTTAAGGCACTTGCCTTGCACACAGTGGGCCTGGGTTTAACCCCGGCACCCCTGATGGTCCCCCAAACCCAGCCAGGAGTGATCCCTGAGTACAGAGCCGGGAGTAAGCCCTGAGAACCACCAGGTATGGCTCCCCCAAAGCAAACAACAAACAAAAGGTCACTCTGTAGTCCCTGAACCGTCATGTCCAAGTGTGTGTAGATGAACTACAGCTGCTAAGGCACTCTGTTTTTTTTTTTTTTGTCCCAAGACTCAGCGGTGGAACTGTCCCTTCCCGGGTGAAGCCAGGGCAGCGGGGCTTAACACCCGTCTCTTCAGTTGTCTTACAGACCGGTGAGAGCGCCAGCGAGTGCTTCTGTCTGCGGTGCCCGTTGGTGGGAACCATTGAAGGCGGAGTAGCCACGGGCCATTATATCATCTCCTGGAAAAGGTAAGGTGGGCCCTCCGACCTGTCCTGCATCAGGGTGCTAGTCTCCTGTGGGTGGTAGTTGCCCTCGGCTCTGGAGAGCAGATTAGGGTCGCCGCATTCTCACTGACCACAATCAGGAGCAGAGAGAGACTCCAAGGGATGCTGGGACCTTCCCCCATGTTTGCTGCTGCAGTTTGTAAAGGATGAAAATGTTTCTTTGTTTGTTTTTGTGTTTTTTTTTTTTTTTTTTTTTTTTTGCTTTTTGGGTCATACCTGGCAATGCACAGGGGTTACTTCTGGCTCAGCACTCAGGAAGTACTCCTGGCGGTGCTCAGGGGACCCTATGGGATGCTGGGAATCGAACCCAGTCGACCGCAAGCAAGGCAAGTGCCCTCCCTGCTGTGCTATCGCTCCAGCCCCAAGGATGAAAGTTTTGCCAAAGGAATTCTGGTGATGGGACCATTAAGACACATGAAGTAGGAGAGAATGCCCTGATGTTTACCGGTAGAATTATTCCCAGCTGAACAGCCACGGCTGGTCAGTCACAGGTGACAGCAGCAGTCCAAGCTGCAGCAGGTGACCTGGGACGATATCCAGCAGCTGGGTCAGTCCCTCCTGTCAGTGTCCATTTGGGGCTCTTATTTGATCTTATTTTGGTCTCTTGGGTTTGGGCCCACACCCGGCGATGCTTAGGGGTTACTCCTGGCTCTGTACTCAAGAATCACTCCTGTCAGTGCTTGGGGACCCTGTCAGATGCCATGGCTCGAACCCAGGTCAGCCACGTGCCAGGCCAGCGCTCTCCCGCTGTGCTCTTGCCCATCCACTCTGAGCTTTTCAAGTTGGTGTTTCCCCAGCAGTGACAGTTGTGTGATAGAGGAATCAGTCTCAAGATGATGGGAATTTAAGACTAAATGAAAGGAACCAAATAAATGGGAGAGAGAACCAAAACAGGGTGACTGGAATTCAGATAAGAATTAAGTGTTGTAGGGGCTGGAGTGATAGCACAGCGGGTAGGACATTTGCCTTGCATGCGGCCGACCCGGATTCAATTCCCAGCATCTCATATGTTCCCCTGAGCTACCCAGGAGTAATTCCTGAGTGCAGAGCCTGTGCATCGTCAGGTGTGACCCAAAAAGCAAAAAAAGGAAGAAAAAAAAAGAATTAGAAGTGTTGTAAACTAGTCCCTTTCGGGTATGGCTCGAACGTCTTGTATGTAAACAGTGCATGAGATGATTGGGAAAAAAGGCTTGGAGAAATGGGATTTGTTTCTGATGTCTGTGCTCAGGGCTTACTTCTGGCTCTGGGGGTCACTCCTGGTGGGCTGGGGGGACTGGATGGGGAACCTGGATTGAGCCCTGTGGGCCGTGCTCCTGGCAAGAGTCTCCCCCACTGTGCTACTGCTCTGGCCCCAGGAAAAAGGGAGTTTCCCTAAGTTAGGAAAACCCGCCCCTTCCTGCCTCTGCATCTCCCCTTTTGGCCATTAGTGTCATGTCCCGGGATGGTTATTAGGGCAGCATCCCGTCCCGGCGGGGCCCTCTGACCTCTGTGCCGTAGGGGACAGCTGTGGACGCAGCCTGTTCCCCTCTCAGGATTGCTGGCTGGGTCCTGGCTGGTGGCAGGTGGGCGGGCGCCGTGTCCCTCTGCGTGTCCCCCAGGAGATGGGGGGCTGCCCGGAGCCCGGGGCAGGGGTGCGTGTTGGAGTGCAGGCAGTGGGCCTCCGTGGCTCCTGCCAGCAGGGGCCCAGGGCTCCGGCCCCCGTGAGCGGTTCTGGGGCAGGGCCGTCCATATCCACCCCTCCACGGCCGGCGCGGACAGGGGCGGGTTACCAGCGCCCTTCTCTGCCCCAGGGCCGCGGCCATGGCGGACGTGCCCGTCATCCGCACCCCCGTCACCCTCCCGCATGTGCTGGTGGAGAACATCCCGCTCCACGTGGATGCAGGTGAGGGCGCTGGACCTGAAGGGGCGGGGCCGGGAGGGGCGGGGCTTGGAGGGGCGTGGCCGGGAGGAGGGCGGGGCGTCACCGGGTCTGCGCTCTGGCCTAGGCCCCTTTGATCTGCGACCGCCCATCCCGGCACTGGGAAGCAAAGCCCCACAATGTTCAGCCCCTGTCACGGAATCAGGGACTCTTTTTTTCCTGTAAATGCTCATTTTCATTATACTACACACTTTAGTTTTCATCTCAGATGATTTCCGCACTTCCCTCGTACAAGTTCTTCCAATATCCTAAAGAAAATGACAAAGCTATCCCATTGATTTGTAAAAAAATAGACAATGAAACTTGTATATTGATCTCACATTAGAAGTTCTCAGATTTTAGCCCGTGACCAAACAAATTAAACTTCTTTAAATCCAGTAGGATACCTGTGACAATTAGAGATAAATTGCCTAACACCCGTGCAGCAGAGGGGTTTGTAGATATGTTCAGTAGTTAGCCATGCTAGGGGTATTTTAAAATTCCCATTCAAAGGGCAAGAATTAATTTTCTTCCTTTTCCTGTGGAGCTGGGGATGAGGTCCCAGGCCTCCGACATTGAGAGCCGTGTGCCCTGCCTCTGAGCCCCATCCAAGTCCTGCAAATCCCAGTAACAGGCTCCTGGCTCCTGCAGACAGTTGTTCTTGTAACGGAGCAGCTCCTCTGCCGGCTACACTTTCTTCCCCTTACTATTTGTGAAAAGTAGGGGCTGGAGCGATAGCACAGCAGGTAGGGCCTTTGCCTTGCACATGGCCAGCCCAAGTTCGATCCTCAGCATCCTGTAGGGTCCCCCAAGCATCGCCAGGAGTAATTCCTGAGTGCAGAGCCAGGGTACCCCCTGTGCAATTGCTGCGTGTGACCCAAAAAGAAAAAAAAAGCGTCATGGGTCAGAAAATCGGGAGGTCGTGTTTTGAGAGTAGCGTGAGCAGATGTGCTCTATTGTGATCAGATTCCAGTGTTGAGGGAGTTTGCGCTTGCTGAAGGATCGCCACATTGCAGTGGAGGGGCACTGCTCACTCATTAGATCCACAGATGGGGGTGGGGTGGGGATCCCTGCCTCTCCCCGCACCCCCACGCGAAGCCTCCCCAGGCCTCCTGTCCGCCCTCCTCTGCCTCCCCCTGCCTACAGAGCTTCCTGCCACCCGGACTTTGCCAGTTTCCTTCGTGTTTTTTCCTCCCCCTCCACGGCTTCTGTCACATTCAGGCTCTGACTGGGGTTAGACTGTTTCACGGTTAGCTGTGTGTGTGTGGGGGGGGGGGGGGGCGGGGGATGGTGGCGGGGGAGGGGGTTGGTCAGCAGAAGGCACCCCCAGACCCTTGTATCCGTCAGAGATGCAGCTCGGCTCCTGCTGGTCTCCGGCCCACCCAGCCCGTGCATCTGACGACGCCCCAATTCTCTTCAAGTCCCAGCTTTTCCATGCGAGGCTGGGGCTGTCCCAGCTGGACCCCGGCTGTGAGCCTTAGCCGGGCCTTGCGGGGGCTGACGGGGTGACGGGCTGCGCCTTCTCCCCAGAGCTGCCCTCCTTTGGGCGCGTCCGCGAGTCGCTGCCCATCCGCTACCGCCTCCAGAATAAGACCAGCGTGGTCCAGGACGCGGAGATCTCGGTGGAGCCCAGCGACGCCTTCATGTTCTCAGGCCTGAAACAGGTCAGCTGCGGGTGCAGGGAGGGGGCCAGGTGGGGGGGCGCGGGGTTCCTGCAGACACACCTCTGCCTCTCCGCCCGTGCTGGCTGCGCCCTTTCAAGGGAGGCACAAAGGGCAAAGGATGTGCCCAGTGTCCCCGGGTCTCCCAAGCCCCACGTGTGGTGGTTTAATTTTCAACATCTCCCTCCCCCCCCGAAGTTCTGTACTATAAAAATCCCTCAAAGGGGTCAGCGATCGCACAGCAGGTAGGGTGCTTACCTTGCACGCGGCCAACCCAGGTTCAATCTCCGGGACCCCATAGGGTCTCCCAGACGCCCCCTCCCCCAGCAAGAGTAATTCCTGAGGGCAGAGGCTGGAGTAACACCAGAGCACTGCCAGTTGGGGCCCCAAAACCAACCAACCAACCAACCAACCAACCAAAAAAAAAATTCCTCAAAGTGGGGCAAGATGAAAAGTGCAGCCTGGCCGGGTTCAGTTCCCGACCCAGCACCAGCCGGAGAGCCCCTGAGCACAGAGCCAGGAAAGTTCTGAGGGGGCTAGCTGTGGCGCCCCCAACTTATTTGTTCTTTTAATTTTTGCTTAGTTGGGACTGCACCTGGGTGGGCTGAAGGTAGGGGATGGGTTTGGGTGCCGCGGTGCTGGCCCCCAAAGCCCCCCCATATACAAGGCAGGGTGCTGCCGTGAGCCCACCCCAGCCCTCCTGCTCCTCCTCCTCCACCCCCCCCCCCCCATGGAACCCCATGGAAGCTGCAAAGTGCTCCGTAGAAGGGAGATCGTGCGTGCGTTCACTTGGCCCACTCGGCTCTGCAGTCAGGTCTGCCCCTGAGAAGCCAGGCGGGCGGGAGGGAGGCGTGCACCCTGCAGGGCTGGGGCTGCCGCTCTCTCAGAAACGGGGGTCCCACGGCCCGCGGCTCCTGAATGAATGGTGGCATGGGCTTTCCGGGATTCAGATTCGGTTGCGCATCCTGCCTGGCGCCGAGCAGGAGATGCTGTATAACTTCTACCCGCTGATGGCCGGCTACCAGCAGCTGCCCTCGCTGCACGTCAGCCTGCCGAGGTTCCCGAGCTTCACCACCCAGCTGCTCCGGCGCTTCATCCCCACCAGGATCTTCGTCAAGGTGAGGCGCGGGCGCGGCCTTGGCGTGACGCGACCGCGCAGAGGTGGCCCTGAGCTGATGTCAGGTGGCCCGGCCCGTTTAAGTCTGTACACAGAGTTCCGCATCAGAGATCGGAGTTTTCCCGTGACCTTTTTTTTTTTTTGGATGTGTTTTTCCTTAATCTTGCCCCACCTGCCACCCCATCCCAGGCCCAGTGAAGGAAATGGGTAAACTATTGGTTGGTTTGCAACTGGGCTTGGAATCAAAACGTGTTCGCCTTCTCCATGTGCGCCCCAGACCTCCTCAGTTCTCTCTGTGACTCTGGGCTTGGCTTTCTGAAAAAACGCCCCTGGGTTGGGGGCTGAGCTCTGGGGGCTGAGCTCTGGTGCTGCGGGCTTCAACGGTGGCAGTGTCCAGGGCCCTGCAGGGGCGAGTGAAGACTGCCAGCAGCGTTGTCAGTATAGGTGGGTGTGTTTGGGGGGGGGGGTGGTCACAGATATGTGAGGGGGTGTATGCGTGTGGAGAGGCAAGCCAGAGTGTGAGGAGACGGGGGTGGAGGAGAAAGTGTGTATGTGTGTGAGAGCGCGTGAGCAGGAGGGTGGGCCTGGGAGAGGCAAGATCAGGACAGGAGGGTGTGTGAGAGGGAAGGTGTGTGTGTGAGGAAGAGGGTGGGAGTGTGAGAGAAGGTGAGTGTGTGAGGGAAGGTGAGCGTGTGAGGAGGTTGGGAGTGTGATGGGAGGTGATTAAGTGTGAGGAAAGTGAGGGGATGTGAGAGAGGTGAGTGTGTGAGGAGGAGGTGGGAGTGTGAGGGTGGTGAATGTGTGAGGAGAGGGTATGAGTATGAGGAGGTTGGGAGTGTGACGGGAGGTGATTGAGGTATGTGAGGAGGGTGTGAGTGTGAGGGAGTTGAGTGTGGACGTGAGTGTGATGGGAGGTGATTGAGGCAAGTGTGAGGAAAGGGTGGGGATGTGAGGGAGGTGAGTGTGTGAGGATGAGGTGGGAGTGTGAGGGAAGGTAAGTGTTTGAGATGGGTGGGGTAGATGTGTGAGGGAAGGTGATTGAGGTGAGTGTGTGAGGAGGAGGTGGGAATGTGAGCGAAGATGTGTGAGGAGGAAGGTATGAGTGTGAGTGAGAGGGAATTGGCCGCCCTGGCCTCTCTCTTGTCCTGTCTGTGAGGTGGCACTCTGTGTGCTCATGCGGGCCTTGCTCCCTTGGTGACTGGCATATGTGAATCATGGAGACCCTCTCACCCTCTTAGCCAGGCTAATGTAGCTTCAGAACTGCTCCCCTCAGCCAGGTCTGTGGGTTCCTTCAAGCTGGGGACACGTGAGGGTTCTGAGTCACACGTGAGGGTTCTTCAGTCACCTGAAGCTGATGTAGCTCAAGTCCCTGTCCTGGGCGCTGGAGTGAACGTGGCAGAAAGTGCTGGAACACAGGGTAGGAGAGGAGTGACCCAGGAGATCAGGAACCTACAGGATGGGGGCAGAGGGGTCACATGGTCACTGTCCCGGGCTCAAGTGAAGGAAGAAGGTGGACTGAGAGAGAAGGTTCCCTTGGTACTAGTGACGTTCGTTCCTTTCAGAGCAAACTTCCCATTATTGGCACTTGAGGCACTCGAGGGGGCTTGGCCCCGTGGTTTGGGCTGCGACCGTGTGGTTTGGGGGTGTGGCGCTGTGCTTTGGGGGTTTGCTGGTAACGGCCTTTCCTTTGCTTTCTCCCTCCAGCCGCAGGGCCGGCTCGGGGACGACGCTTCTATTGTGGCCGCGTGATTCAGGAGCCAGCCCGGCTCTGCGCCCCTCGGCCTCCCGTTGTGAACTGTAGCCTCGATCATGGTCAAAGTGCATCTATTTTTTAACAGATATTATACCAGCTCTGCGGAGGAACTCCTGCTTCAGATATTAGGAAAAAAATCTATCCTATAGTTTCACAAATAAATATTTGGAATCTGTCAGTGTGACGTGGAGGGGTGCGTCTCTCGCGGTCGCCTCTTGGGAAAGCCGGGACTTGGCACGTGCCATCTCAGTAGAGCAGTGCCCCAGGCCTAGAGTCCAGAGTCTACCTCAGAAAGAACGTGTTGTTCAGGGGCCCCTAGAGGGACGAGAAATCCACCTTCATGAGCCGAGCGCGTGCCCAGACCCATTCTTGGCGTTGCACGTTTAATCCCAGTGGTAGACAGGGAGGGTGTGAAAGGACCTTCAGCTTAACCGTGTCAGCCAGGCGGGGCGTTCCGGAAGCAGGTTTGTATTTCTCAGGGGTAATCTGTCTGAGAGGGTATGAAAATCCATCTTATTTCCTGAACCAAGCTGAACAAGAGCTTTCCGTGCAGTTTCAACCTCCAAAATTCCCGAAAATCCATGTAAATAAAAATCATATGGCGAAAAGTATTCTTTATTTAAAAAATTTTAAAAGGAACTGATTTCCTGGAGAATCACATTATTTAAGTCTCGGGGTTATAAAAGGAAAAGGAGCAGGCGAAATAAACATTGTCTTTTGAGTACGTTTGCATGTCTGGACCTTTTATTTTATTACGTGGTTTCACTTCACAAAACCACTCTTCCTCCTGAGAGCACTGTGGTGTGAGGTGGTGGAGTGGGGGGTGCATGGGGTGGGCAGGTTGCCCACGAGGACACTCTGGCCAGGCACTGGCCTGTCCTGCGGAGCTTGTCTGGGCCACGGGCGGCTGCGTCGTCTTCAGTCTCGGCTCTGCTGTTTCCTGCCTCAGTGACTCTGCTCTGGCAACTCACCCTCTGTATGTCGCTATTGTTGCAGTGGGATGGAGCCATGTGGCAGAAATGCAGGGCACACCTTGGCCACTGAGCCACGTGCATCCACGGCCGCGGCTTACTGGCCATAGGCTTAGGGGCAGCTGGGAAGACTCTTGCAAGCTTGCAATGAGGATGATAAAAATAGACGTCTGAGAAAGGCTTGGAACGAAGAGCACCTTCGGGCTTGACCTGTCACCTTCCAGTGACCTACCTAGGGGATCTTCTTAGGGGGTCTGCAGAGCGTCTTGTCTGCTGCAGCTGGTGTCAGGATGTGGGGCTCCGTTGTGTTTGAAGCACACGCATGTGGCCATACTGTGTAGCTTGTGAGTACCTAAAGGCAGAGCATTTCCCGAGAGACTCATTCTGCACGCACTCTTCATTGACACAGAACTGACACGCAGAACTTTCTTTTCAGGTACATAGTATGAGGGTTGGGTCTGTACATATCACAGGTCAGTGGAAACCTGTCCCCATGCATAGGCACACGAGAGTCTGTACTCTCAGATTTTATAACTGACTTCATAATTATTGGTTTTTTTTGGGGGGGGGCACACCTGGCAATGCTTAGGGCTTATTCCTGGCTCTGTGCTCAGGAATGACTCCTGGCAAGTGCTCAGGGGACCATATATGCTGTTGGGGATTGAACCCGGTTAGATGTGTGCAAGGCAAATTCCCTATCTGCTCTACTCTCCCTCCTTTGCCCCTCCAGTTTGTTTAAAACAATTCCTGGATAAGTTGCAAAACTGGTCACATGGTCCACTCATAGGCAATTGCTTGTCGTGTGGGACAGTCAAAAAGACTTTTGAGTTCTCCGAAGACTGTGCATGGGCGTCCTGTCGGCACCGCCAGTGTCAAACACGTCCTGTGTCAGAACAAATGAGCTGCCACCACCTGCTCTACAGGGTTTTCTGGGGTGCTGGGAGTCAGGGCCACACACGGGAGCACCTTCTCTGCCATGGCGCCCCCTCTCTGGCCCCCGATGGGCACTTCAGAGCAACCCTTGGTGACAGGAGACTCCACCTTCCCTGCACTCAGTTTTGTTACCCTGCCCTGTGGACGTGGAACCTTTCACACACACGGGGTGTCTGCCACAAAGCAGCCTTAGTTGCCAGCAACTTATATTGGCATTATTATTATTATTTGGGGGAGGGAGGGGGCAAGGTTTGGCCACACCTTTCAGTGCTCAGGGTTTACTCTTGCATCTGTGCTCAGGGGTCACTCCTGGTGGGACTTAGGTGACCCTAAGTCACGGGATGGGGGATTGAACTGGGGTTGGCCGCACTCAAGGTCAGTCCCTTAACCCCTTGTGCTTTCTTCCAACTCCTGTTTCCATTTAAGGTAGATTTAAAATGGAAACTTTTCATTAAAAAACATGAAATAATTATGTTCTGCACCTCCAAAAACCAGACCTCAACCATGTGTGTTGCAGGATTCGTTAATGTCACATGGACTAACTGCCGTTCACTTCTGGCTTTCACCAAACATACTCACCTTAGGAGCGCCCATGTTGTCATAAAATGCATCATTTTATCTTTTTTTTTTCTTTTGGTTTTCGGCCACACCCAGTGATGCTCTTGGATCTGCACTTAGCAATTACTCCTGGCAGTGCTCAAGAGAATATATGGGATGCTGGGGATCAAACCCATATATTAGCTGTGTGCAAGGCAAGGGTCTACCCACTCTGCTAGTGCTCCAGCGCCCGTTTTGTCTTTTTGAAAATTTTTTTTTAAATGTTATTTTTCTAAAGTTGTTCACAATAATTTATTACAGTCAATATTCCAACACGAATCCCATCACCATTTTCCTTATAGGAAAGTGTGTGAAGACTATTGTGTCTCATCCTCCAGCCCTCAAGTCATCCCCTGGCCCCTATTGCTGGCTCACAGTGAGTATGCCTGGGCACGCCGTGCCCCTGTGCTTGCTCTCGACTCTGTTTTGTGGTGGCTGAAGGTTTCTGGAATGAAAAAGTCTGAGAGACGGCGAGAAGGCATGCAGAGGCAAGGGGGTAGGAGAGGAAGCAGCGAGAGGACGGCTTCCCTATTCCTCCCGGAACTGTTGGGGTTGCATTGCCAGTGTTCCCGAGCAGGTAATGTTCCACGAGCTAAGTTTGGGGTCTGGGGGTCTGGAAAAGTTGTTAAGGAGAATCAACCAAGGAAGGCAGTTCAGTGATGAGGGCTGGCCAGAATCTGCCGGCCAAGCGCTCGAGTACAGAGGGTGGGGTTGGGCCCAGATCAGCTGCTCTGCCAGGGCAAGGCCCTCTTGAAATTCAAGGACTCGGGGGCAAAGCTTGTCTGCTCAGCTTTCCAGGGCTCCTCTGGTCGAACAGGCGGGGTTAGAAAAGTGGTTGCGCTTGGGGGAGAGCCAGCCACGCTTGTCTCAACAAAGGACTGAAACCCAAATGCCAAGTGTAGAGTAAGTCGAAAAATAAAGAGCCCCAGATCCAGGATGGAGGGAACAGTGCAGGAGGCGCACCAGGTTAATCAGGTTAAAAAATGACTATAACCTGGGGGAGGGTGCTGGGGCACACATGTGTCAAGTGCACCCCTGGCCGCACTGTGGTCTTTGCACCCCTCTCTATGGTCTGTGACCTCTCTCTATGGCCTGTGGCCCCTCTCTATGGTCTGTGACCCCTCTCTATGATCTGTGACCCCTCTCTATAGTTTGTGGCCCCTCTCTATGGTCTGTGACCCCTCTCTATGGTGTGGCCCCTCTCTATGGCCTGTGGCCCCTCTCTATGGTTTGTGGCCCCTCTCTAGGGTCTGTGGCCCCTCTTTATGGTTCTGTGGCCTCTCTCTATGATCTGTGCATCCCATGCAATTTCTTTTTCATTTCTTTGTTTTTGATTTTGGGTCAGACCTGGCAATGCTCAGTAGTTACTCCTGACTGCACTCAGGAATTACTCCTGGGGGTGCTTTGGGGACCCCATGGGATGCCGGGGATCCAAGCCTGGTGGGCCTCATGCCAGGCCAGCACCCTCCCCACTCCTGTCACTCTGGCCCTCTGCAGTTTCTACCTGCCCTGAAGCCAGGTGTGTGTGAACATCCCAAGGGGCGTGACCCCTCCTCCCCTCTGCACCCTCAGGCAGCTGGGAGGGCGGCAGAGTTAGGGGCCCCACCCAGAAATGGAAGAGGTATGTGAGGGTCACAAGTCAGGAAGCGGGCACTTAGTGGCCTCCCGAGGAGTCTCGAGCAAGGGAAGGGGCTTCCCTCACCCCACCCAGAAACCTCTGGGCTCAGAGCCGATCGCGGCAGGAGTGGGACTCCAAGGCTCAGCTGGTCAGGATCCAGCAGCTGGGCAGGGAGCCGGGCGGGGGCCCAGGGGGGCCTCTTCTACTTCTGTCCTGGTTAATCATTGCCCCTCCGCTGGGACCAGTGTGTCCTGTTGGCCGAGTCTTTTCCCTTCTGGAAGTGGAACTCGCTGGGCAGGGTCCCGTGCAGGGGGGAGTCTGGGAGTGGGGAACTGAGTCTGACCCTGAGATCCCTTTGCTCAGTGGGGGGTGGTGGAGGGGAGGGCTCTATAGAAGAGATGACTGCAAAGTGGCCCGACTGGCTGGGGGACTTGGGGACAATGAACCCTTCTGTTCCCAAAGGGGAGCCAGCTGTGATGAACCCAAGATTTTCTTGCACTTCGCTGAACACACCTGCAGAAACTCGGCTTGTTTCTTGGGGAGCGAGTCCCTGCTCCCCGGAGGTGGGGGTGGACTTGGGGCACCCTCTCTAACCTCCTGCGCCAGGGCCCCCGCCAGCTACCTCCTGGGCCTCTGGGCTTTGGAGCTGCGGCAGGCAGCTGGGAGGGCGGCAGAGTTAGGGGCCCCACAGGAACTAAGCCCCGAGCACCACCTTGTGGGATGGCATCAGAACTAAGCCCAGAGCACCACCCTGCGGGGTGCATTTCCCCCTCCTCTACACAGTGTGTTGGGGCACTGCAGAAAGTCACAAGGAAACATTCTGCAGGGGGGTTCTTGGAGAGGCCCCGTGCACTGAAGTGGGGAGGACCTTGTCGAGGTTTATGTAAAACTTCCCCGTGTTGGACCTGACCGGTTGTTTTTAGAAGGAAGCAGAGCTCAGAGACGGAGAGGGTGTGTCTAGGGTCTGCACCAGGAGACCAGACAGCCCCCTTATGCCCCCCCCCCCCCAAGATCCTTTCCTGAAGAAGGGAGAAACTCATTTTCCAGGAGGATGTGACGGGCACTGAATGG